AAGTGTGGATTTCCCTTTACTTTTTTCCTCAAGGGAGGTTACTCTAGACATGACATAGTATAGAAGGTAAGAGTGATTTCCCCTTTTTTTTTCAAGGGAGGTTACTCTTTCTTGATAAAATAAAAGGTAAGAGTGGTTTCCCTTTGTTTTTTCAAAGGAGGTTACTACTGATCTAACTTAGTTATATGAAAGGTGAGAGTAATTTCTCTTGTATTATTCGAGGGAGTTTACTCTATCTGGCTTATTTATGAAAGGTAAGAGTGATTCCTTTGCTTTCAGGGATGTTCTCCTAACTGGATTAATAATTTTAAGGTTAGAGGTGATTCCCTTTGTTACTTGGGGAGGTACTCAATCAGGATTAATAATTAAGGTTAGAGTTGTTACCGTTCTTTTTTTCTTCAGGGGAAGTTAGTCCTACTGCGTCTTAATCATGAAAGTAAGAGTGATTTCCCTTTGTTTTCTTAAGGGGATAACTGTATCTGGATGAATAATTCAAGGTAAGAGTGATTTTTTTATTTTTTTCCTTCAAGGGAGGGTAACTCTATAATGACTTAATAATGAAAGGTAAGAGTGATTTCCTTTGTTTTCTGCAGGGGAGGTAGCTCTTATTGGATTAAATTTAAGGTTAGAGTTGTTTTCCTTTTATTTTTTCAGGAGAGGTTACTCTATCTGGCTTATTTAATGAATGATGAGAGTAATTTTCCCTTTGTATTATTCAGGGCAGGTTTTACTCTATCTTCTTATTTATGAAAGGTAAAAGTAATTTTCTTTTGTTTCATTCAGGGTCGGTTAATCTATCTGACTAAAAAAAAATGAGAGGTAAGAGTGATTTCCCTTTGTTTTCTTAAGGAAGGTTACTCTATCTTGCTTATTTATGATAAGTAAGAGTGAACTTCCAATTTTTTTCAGGGGAGGTTACTGTATCTGAATTTATGAATTTAAGGTTAAAGTGATTTTCCCTTTTTTCTTCAAGGTAGGTTACTCAGTTGAACTTAATTTTGAAAGGTAGAGTTTAATTCCCCTTTGTTTTTCAGGGGAGGGAGCTTATTTGAATAAATAATTCAAGGTAAGAGTGAGTTTCCCTTTATTTTTTTCTTCAGGGGAGTAACTGCTATATCTTAATAATGAAAGGTTAAGTGTTTTCCTTTCGTTTTCTTGAGGGGAGGTTACTCTATCTGGGACATTAATGAAAATAGAGTGATTTCCCTTTGCTGTCTCATGGGAGATTACTCTTTCTGATTTATAATTTAAGGTTAGAGTGATTTCCTTTTATTTTCAGGGGAGATGATCCATCTGGCTTGATAATGAAATGTAATTAGTGAATTCTCTTTCTTTCTTTTAAGGGTGTGTAAACCTCTATCTGCTTAATAAAAAGGTTGGAATCATTATGGTTTCCCTTTGTTTTCCTCATGGGGTTACTCTATTGAATTTAACGGTAAGTGTTATTTCCCTTACTTTTTCTTCAAGGATGTTTCTCTACATGACATAAGTTAATTAGAAGGTAAGAGTGATTTCCCTTTGTGTTATTCAAGGGGGTTACTCTTTCTTGTAAATAATTAAAGGTAAGAGTGGTTTCCTTTGTTTTTTTAAAGGAGGTTTACTCGATCTAACTTAGTTATGAAAGGTGAGAGTAATTTCTCTTTGTATTATTCGGGGAGTTTTACTCTATCTGGGCTTATTTATAAAGGTAAGAGTGATTTCCCTTTGTTTTTCAGGGGATGTAAACTCTAACTGGATTAATAATTTAAGGTAAGAGTGATTCCCTTTGTTTACTTCAGTGGAGGTTACTGCAATCAGGATTAATAATTTAGGTTAGAGTTGTTTCCCTTTGTTTTCTTCAGGGGAAGTTACTCTATCTGACTTAATCATTAAAGGTAAGAGTGATTTCCCTTTGTTTTCTTCAGGGGGAGGTAACTCTATCTGGATGAATAATTCAAGGTAAGAGTGATTCCCTTTATTTTTTTCCTTCAAGGGAGGTAACTCTATATGACTTAATAATGAAAGGTAAAGAGTGATTTCCCTTTGTTTTTCTGCAGGGAGGTAGCTCCATCTGGATAATATTTAAGGTTAGAGTGGTTTCCTTTTATTTTTTTCAGGAGAGGTTACTCTATCTGGCTTATTTAATGAATGATGAGAGTAATTTCCCTTTGTATTATCAGGGCAGGTTACTCTATCTTGCTTATTTATGAAAGGTAAAAGTAATTTCCTTGTTTCATTCAGGGTCGGTTAATCTATCTGACTTAGAAAATGAGAGGTAAAAGTGATTTCTTTGTTTTCTTAAGGGAAGGTTACTCTATTTGCTTATTTATGATAAGTAAGAGTGACTTCCTTTTTTTTTTCAGGGGAGGTTACTGTATCTGAATTTATGAATTAAGGTTAAAGTGATTTCCCTTTTTCTTCAAGGTAGGTTACTCAGGTCTGACTTAATTATGAAAGGTAAGAGTTAATTCCCTTTGTTTTCTTCAGGGGAGTAGCTCTATTTGAATAAATAATTCAAGGGTAAGAGTGAGTTCCCTTATTTTTCTTCAGGGGGTAACCTATATCTTAATAATGAAAGGTAAGTGTTTTCCTTCGTTTTCTTCAGGGGAGGTTACTCTATCTGGGACATTAATGAAAATAGAGTGATTTCCCTTTGCTGTCCTCATGGGAGATTACTCTTTTCTGGATTTATAATTTAAGGTTAGAGTGATTTCCCTTTTATTTCAGGGGAGATGACTCCATCTGACTTGATAATGAAATGTAAGAGTGAATTCCCTTTGCTTACTCACTCCTTTTGCAGATAATACGCTATCAGATAGACTTAATAATGAAGTATAAGATTGTTTACCGGTCCCTAACACAATTTCTAGTTTTCAGGGGAGATTACTCTGTTTGACAAATATTAGATTAGTATCTTATTAATAAAGGTTGGGGAAAGATAACTTGACACGTTCAGAAAAAATCTTTTTAATTCCAGTTTCTTTTTCAAAATAATTTGCATTCAAAAATACTTGTCATTGTTTTGTTTACAAAATCAATTTTATCATTCAACTGCATAATTTAAGACAAAACTGTTTTGCATGAAACAATATTTAATACGAAGTTAGGTGCTACCTATGGCACAGAAAGCTCATTTTAGCATAACATGTTCAGTGTACATGTAAACCAGATCTTTCTTGCTCTTCATTAGTAAATGCAAGTATTTTCTATTTTGTACCGTAAACAAAACGAATTAATTGACGGTGTTCAACCTATCATCGGAGCAATGGGAATATTCCAACGTAAACTATGTTAAGATATTTCAAGTATTGTTCCAGACACAACCTTAGTTAAGAAATTACTATTTTAGTTCCAAACTCAAACTCAGTTAAACTATTTCAAGTATTGTTCCTCACTCAAAATAAGTTAAGATAGTTCAGATGTTGTCTCAGACTAAAACTCAGTAAAGATGTTTAAAGAGTTGTTCCAGACTCAAACTAACTAACTAAGATAAGATAATTTAAGTGTTGTTCCCGACTAAAACTAAGTTAAGATATTTCAAGAGTAATTCAAGACTCAAACGCAGTTAAAAATTTTCAAGTATTGTTCCTCACTCAAGCTAAGCTAAGATATTTCAAGTACTGTTTCAGACTCACACTAGGTTAAGATAGTTCAAGTGTTTTTCAAGAATGAAGTTCAGTAAAGATGTTTTAAATATTCTCCAAGACTCAAACTGAGTTAAGATATTGTGGTGCACCGCTAATTAAGATTTTTTTTACCGTAATTGCCTTTTGTTTACATTTTATTCACTTACTATAAGAATCAAACTGTAATATTTGAGTATCCAAATACGTTTAACTGTACATAACGTATATTTCATTTTATCAAGTATTTTACCTTTAAATGACTCCAGAGATATTGTATTCATGTTTCATCAATGTTTGTTTATCACTCTAGTGATAAAATTTCCGCCATCTTACAAGTATGTTAGCTTTCGTGACGTCATTACTGTATTTGATTTATGACGTCATCATTTTTGTTGTTTTACAATATGATGTCCGTTAGGATTTGTAGGATTTTATAATTTTATTCACCAATAAGTTTTTCCGCACCACACGTACCCCGCTACCTTATAATGTTACCTAAACAAAGTTTGCATTACTATAAATGTTTTACGATCATTTATTACGCATGTTTAATATTATTTTTAATGTTGTTTATTGAAATTATTTTAGTGTGGGAGGTGTGGGATTCGATAAAACTCCTTTTGAGTATTTTCCCACAAGTTCCTACTGTGTTTGATACTGTGGGAAAACTTTCAGATTTTGTCCATGGTTTTTTATTTGACAACGTCCTGTTTCCGCTTTTCATAAGTTTCTTTATGGCGGGACACTTGTGCATCTTGATTAACTCGTGTCTTGGCATTTGCCAGCACGTTGTCTCTTTTTCAAAATATAAAAATTCACTTCCGACTGTCCGGAGTGTAATCAGCCATATAGCTTTAGTAAAATTCACTTCTGATTGTCCGGAGAGTAATCAGTCATATGGGCCTTTAGTCATATTGTAATCATTATACTATATATGTATTTCCGATTATCCGGAATACATATCCAGCTAATGGACAAAATTCTGCCAAAACCATGATAAATAGTTTTTAATCTAAAAACTTTGGTTGTTATATATCTTTCCTATCTTAATAAATATATATTCAGTGTTTTAAAGTTTTATTTTCGCATCCATGAATTCAATTAAGTCAATAAAGTGAGTGTTGGTTATGCATTTCCCGGGCATATTTCATGCAATAGTTAAATGTCTTAAGAGTTGGTTGCTCTGTTTGTGTTTTGAAAAATGCCACAAGACCTTTTATTTCTTCCATGCTTTCAACGCTTCACATATCCATATAAAATGACTGTATACCTGTTTAAACATTTCAAAGGGATAAAATATTGACAACAAAGAATGGAACAATTTTTTGCACTATTGTTTGACATTTTGAATGTCAAGTGAGCATCTGAATTGAATAGAAGGTGCTTCCAATTAAAAAGAAAGGTGAACAAGTTGAAAATGAAAGATTGCAAATTTTCTATGGAAATTGCCAAAACAGTTTAAATACTATACATAATCTTCACTGAAAGTAAATAGTAATAGAGAACCTTCTTAAAGTTTGTCATAATTTGTTACCAACAAAACAGTTCTTTAATGTTTTGCCTTTTCAAAGATCAAATAATATTTTCTAGAACAAGTTCACAAATATACGCTATCGTGCAGAAGTAATGTCCAGGTCTTCAAGGAATGTCATTTTTCTTTTCTTTTTGCACCTTTTACGTGGTCCCGTGGTCAAAGGTCGTATATTATTAATTTCTTCACCAGCTCTTTTCTGTACTTCTTCAACAACTGCTTTCACCTGCATAATGATAAAAAATAATTATTTAGCAATTTCACATGTTAATTACTGAAAGTTGTTTCGTGTTAGTGAGAAATTTTTTCCCATTTTATTTGCAGTCATGTTGAAATATACACTAAAGTCTTATTTATGCACATTTCGTACAAATCAAATGTTACAATAATATGTGACTAAATATATAAGTATTTTTACAAACCTACTACTAAAGATACTATTATCAACTAGAAAATTACTTCGTGTCAGTTTTTCATTGACCTTTTGCCACCTGACTTCTTACTCAAAATGAATCTTTCACTAGTCATAACAAAACATCAAACACAATTTTAGGGCTGTATGCTTTCCCTAGATATTGGTGAGAATGGTTGTAGACACCATTTTTGCGGTGACCTTAAAGAAAGAAGTCATAGACTTGTAAATTGTAAGTCAGGCAACGCTTTTGTACTTATCACGCTTTTGATTAAGAAAGGTAGAGAACGGACATTTGGACCTTTTAAGTGGGGACGTAAAAAGAAGGCAACCGTCGACTGCAATCACGTTAAAACCTTATGACACGGATATGTATGGTTGCCTGTTCGGCCATAATCGGGCACCTTACTGTTCTAAAAGTTTAATATTGCAGAAACAAAACTATCTTGTAGATCAGATGTATTGCATTTCATTTTAGTTCGCAAAACCTTAAGTTCCAAAAAATTGGATTAAAGTTAATTATTGTATAAGTAGCATTATACATTCTTTACAAATGAATTTAAACCGACGTACCCATACAAAGAATGTAGCACATCCTGCACTGACTTCACGAATCTGGTCTATACTGTATTCAGGAAGAAAGTCTCCAGCTCCAATGGCAACTTCCAAGGGGCATGTCTCAATCTTAAATTCTATTATCAACCTCTTCAATGACTCATGTCCAGTTTTCCCCAATACCATCTGTACATTTTTCCATTCCTTAAATCCAAAACAAAATAATTGCAAGCAAATAATAGAAACAATTTTAGTTTTTTAAAAAAAAATGTACATATAGCTGAATATATTCAGCCCTTTTTACGACACTAAAGTGTCCCGAGGTATGTATAAACAATTATCAAATAAGGACTTAAATTGTATATTCATGATTACAAATGAACGCGTAAATTTGTGTGTAAATGAGTGGTTTAAATATAATTAAGAATAATTCCACGCACAGACTCCTTCTTAATTCAGTATTCAGCACAGATATTTTCATTTCAATTACATTTTATCATTATTTTGTTGTAGAATAAAATTGTCATGAAAATATAAATCTGATAAGGTCTGTTTGCAATTGAGTCATCTATAGTTAATTATTTGATTTCTTTCTTCTTTCCTGAATAATCACGCTTTGGACTTTTTCTAAGGCTCGCACGTGCGCAACAAAAAAGCAATAGCGACCATCACCATGAAGCTATGTTCATTAAAAATGTCAGGGCGGGATTCAACATTAAGTATTGCGTTCTACCCATGCGCATCAAAAACGTCAGGGCGGAAATCAAGATGAAGCCTTACGTTCTACTTTTAATTTTCATAAAAAATAATCATATTATGTCTTGTTTAGAACTGGAATGTTAAAATACATCATTTTCTATATACTTGCAAGATTTAAAGAAAGGGGTTCGGGAACGAACTTCGGCTCTGCTTTCCTGTCCAACATTCGCAAATGTCCACTGCATGATATCCCGCCTTACACGCATTCAACTTTAAATATCACCTATCAAATATTTCATTGATTTCATTGTCGTTTATACATACGTATCTCCGCTTGAAGTATCTCCGCTTGCACGTATTTGTTTTTTATTTCTTTCTATGTTTTACCTTGGTTTCGTTTGCCCAATGACCAAGGAGAAGCAATGTTGACATCATAACCGCATGGACTATTATAGGTGGACTATTGTATCCTCTTATTTCAGCAATTGTAGATCGATCTAAGTCTAGTACCGCGTGTAGTAACCACTGGAGCTTCTTAAATCTATAAACAGAAGTTTATTTGAGGAAGCCGATTGGCTTTTCAACTTAAAGTTAGCAGTGCAACTTCAAATGAAATGAAAATAATGTAAAATGTAATACCAGTAATAATAAATTACTAGTAATGTACATTGTCACTTTAATATGTTCATCGTGTCTTAAATTGAAAGAGATTGACTTGCATAAGCAAATAAAAATCACTTAGATGGCATTTATTAACGTCCAAATTCAATGCTTTAAATAAAATGAAGAAAAAGAGCATGCATTCGTCGCATTTAAGAAAACGGTTATAATCATACCTTTGGAGTAGATTCCTTGCTATAGTAACCTCTTTTTCAAGTTTGTTCTCCAAACCAACGATCTTGACCTTCTTCAGTGTTGCTTCGATCAGTTTTATGTCTCTATCACGAATTCTTTCTAGTAACTCTGTTATTTTAAAAAGAACTTTTAATGTAGTATTTACCATGATTAAAGCTAGCAAAAATTGTTATATGAAAAGAAATCATAACGCTAAGTTAAGAAGCTGGAATAACAGAGGTACTACGATTTACATGTTTTAGATTTGGAGACACTTAAAATTGTTGTGATAACATAAGCGATAATCTTTTCATATTTTCATCAAAGCATTGATACACTTTCATTCAAATTATAGGTTTCGTCACTCTCAATCTACTGCTGGTATAAATGTTTTCTTTGCAATAAAAGGAAAAGCTGAAATCGCACAACATATAAAATATTATAATACATGAAATAGACGAGCCCTGACTGTCCGTTCAAGACTCGCTTATTACATTTACTGCACGAGTGTATATTGTAAGATAATCCTTTGATGGTTTAAACGTGTTGTATATGGGTCAAACAAATGTTACCTCTGCTAAACATTCGTATTCCTATTGTTTCCATTGCTATTGAAGAATGTTTTTTTTTTCTTTTTTAAAAAAAGACTATCATTACCATTAACTGATAGCAATAGATGCAAGAATTGAAAATTGAAGTTATGTTTTTTGACAATGTTTTGGAAAGCAAAGTTATGTAGGCGTGAGGCTAAGGTTGCAGGTTTTGATTCATTGTTAATAACCACTGTTACATCCGTTTTCTTCATTTTGCTAAAGCTATCTAACTGACTTATGGAAAATCAATGTTATTAATCAAGATGAAGTGACAAATAAAACAATATACGTATGGCGGTTAAGGTCATCATCTACTATAGCACCTGATCCTCATCCAGCAAACTTAACTGTGTCCTTGTGACATTAAGATGTCCCTTTCTCTCTATTTTAAAACCCAGAAGAAACAGGCATCATCAGAGGGGATAAAGGCCTCGGGATGTAAGAAATTAGATAAAGACTAGATCTAGTACCTTCGAAGCAGTATGATACCAAAGTTAACTAAGCACCATGTGTTTATTATGTGAATGCATGTGTCGGCGATGTCCTATATGTAGTCAGTGTGCACAGTACCTTGAATGACAGCACATCCTTCGCGTAAGTTGTATAAACGAGGTAACCATGTATTTCTAAAGATTATCAAATATGAGTTTAGATAGAAAACGTTTATGTACTGGGAATAGTAGAAGGTATTTATCGAATTGTATTTCATGACGGTGACAAGTAATTCTTCATCTTTAGACTGTCAAGGCATTTGATGTGCACAACGCAGTTAGTTTAAACATATTTATTGTATTATATTATGTAATCGGACTACAACATGCACATGTATTAACAACCATACTCTCATAATACACGCAATGGATTTGACGGAAGCACTGGGTTATACCAAGATTAAAGCGTTAAATTATAAATTTTGGATAAATAAAAACGCTACAACATTACTTGCAAGCAATTAAAAATAAGTACAATAATGATTACCTTTCTTTAACTCAAGCAATTGCAGCGATTCCTCTCCGTATATGATGTCCGGTTGAATTGACGGCTCTTCTAGTGCCTTCATATCCTTTATAACCGAACTTAATTCTTTCGGACTATTTTCTTCTATCGATTGGCACATGCGTCTACGTAGCACATCATTCAATTTCTCTGGAAAGTGAAATTGTAGGTGTTAAAAACTTTGTTTTTTTTTTAATGTAACTAACAAAATATTAACCAAGAAATTCAATGTCATATGACGGTATTATTCAGAAAAATAAATAACACAGTTGTATATCAAAAAGTTACTTGCGCTTTAAAATCGATTATAATTTATATACTGAAGAAGTGTTTCAAGTCTGAACTGCTTTACTTTGAAAAGTTCTTTTTAAAAAAAAATATTATCTAAAAAAGAAAAGAAATGTAAAGGGGCATTACTTTTCAAAAATAAATTTTAATTTAAGATTATCTTCCCTTATTGATAGTGAGCATCTATATCAAGTTTGAAAATGAATACTTTGATAGTTTCTGATAAAAAGGAATCTAATAAAAGAATACCAAGATACCGATCATTTAAAATTTCAAAGTCATGTTGTAGAAGAACTTTGTGAGAGGGACACAAACGCAAGAACAAAATAAGACATTCGTGAGTATCTAGTAAGCTTGAAACAAGAAATAATTACAATTGTTAGTACGCCAATGTTAAAGCTCAAGTAAGGTAAGTTTATTTTTACCTGACTCTTCAATCGGCTCTTCAGTATCCGCTTTGTTCATACTTTCATCAGTTGTCTCATCTGAATAATTATGTTTTTGAATTTTGACAATGAAGTCATGTGAGGGATACTCAGGTAAATTAATAACAAAAATATTAAAATTATTTTATTAACTCTAATCACGCTATAATTAAAATAACACTTTTTAAAGTCCCAGCACGAATTTATGATTTATTTCTTTATAGTTTGGTTCGAAGCGTGAATGTATCTTTATATATTTTGAACGAAATTTAGACGCCGACAGAATCACCGAGAGGTGTGACTTTAACAAACCCTGGAAGTAACAATAATAGATTATGTAGATATTGTATGATTGAAAACTGTAAGTCATTTATTTGAAATGTACTCAAACGTTTCCAGAGTTCACTGCGACAACTATTGTGAAATCATAACGCTCTTACCTGACTCACGTGGGTCAAGTAAGGAAACCACCATTTCATTCTTTATAAGGAGAAAAGTTTTGTTTCTGTGACAGTCTAGTGTTTTAATTTTGAGGACATGTACAGAATATCGAATGAAAAAAAATCAAACTAAGAAATGAATATTTTTGTGTCTTCCTTTAAATAAATCTTTTTCGTTTTTTCCTGTTATTTATAATTTGATTAAAGATCCTCTTAATATAAGTAGGAAACATCATCAATACACACGATCCATTCAATAATTCATTTTATTCTTGATGTATATGATCTTATGCGATCTAAAAAAGAACTTAATAAAACTGTTTTGATAATAACCGAATAAACACTTCTAAAGATACCTATTATTTCAAATGTTTGCGCTTCTTGCTTGAACGTAAGGTCCGATTTTACATTATTCTCTGTTCTTTCTTGAAATCCTTTTGGGAACCTCCCATTTTCATCTTTTTGATTAGATATAAGTAAAAAGTCACAAAATTCTTGAAGATTACCATCAGGGCTATCTTTAACAGTCAGTTTAATAACAAATTCTCCTTTTTCCGGTGTCATGACGTTAAATATGATGTCACCGTTTTCAACTAGATGAACGCAATAATCTGGACGTTCTTCCATTGTTTCCCCGCCAGTAAATACCATTGCTGCGAAGAACAGTTCACCCATTCTCGTAGTGTCGGAAATCCGAAATTTAATTTCCGCTTTTCCATAATCATCCATGTCTACCTCACCGGATAAATGACTGAGGGGAACCAATCCCATTTCTTTAGCAACGCGGCCTGGACCCCATCCTATAGCAGGGTATGGTGGAAACGGTTTGCGTTCATACACTCCTTCGCTTTAAATGTAATTTAAGCTGATATTAGTTAAGCGCAAACAGGCGTTTTAAAAGAACCAATGTGAAATGTTTTGTATACTATTTGTTTTATCATCAAATTAGGTTATCCTTTGCTATATTAAGATAGACGTTTGTCAAAGAAAAATTGAACTCGGTAAGATGTATCGCAAAATAAATATAAAAGTTTCGATTTCATTTGACAAAATATCTAAAAGTGAATTGGTCCATAATTGCAAGTCGGTAAAATAATAAATAATAACGTTTTATTATTAAACATTAAACAAAAAACAAAGATTTGTTTATGGCCTTTGTTGGCAAATGTGAGATACATTATCATATATTATAAATATGTATATATGATGCAGATAATTAAATATTCTAGAACAACATATTATTCTATCATCATATAAATGTGCATGCTAAATTATTAAAAATTGATCAACATTTTTTTCAAGAAATATTGCACAAGAATTCCAAAATGATACAATTCTTGTTTTTACCATTATTTGAAATATTTTATGGAAAATGTGCTCATTGTAGACCAATCCACTTAATGTTTTTTACTTTAAAATATTCATCTATGGCCAACACTACAGTTGTGACAAAAAGCATCATTAAGCTTTAAATATGAAACACACTTGATAGTTTAGTGATCTTACTCTTTCAAGAATAGTTTACACTTACTTAAAGATTAATTTATAAATCACTATCCAATCATAGTCGTAGATATCTCCTTTGATGGTGACGTCCTTGCCAAAAAGCTCGAATCTGAACACGTGCCTCTCTGGTGGCCGTATCTTCACAGTGAGAGTGTTGTTATTGTTGGTGCGATGCATGAACACATACCGGTCTTTTCTGCAGAAAAAGAAATACAAAAAAAACAACAACAAAAATATAACACCCGGGTGATGAAACGTGTTTGCTATAACAAATATATCAAGATTATTATCTACCGCCTCAGTTGTTAAAAGTGTTCTGGTAAATAATCCTACCTAAAGAAAGCTATTCAAACTGGTCTGAATAAATTTCTTTACAATGTTGCACAAGACTTGCATATTTACTCTTCACAGAAAAGCATTCTTATAATAGACTTTTGCAGCTTACTCCGATGCGGACAGCGGACGATGGACTATTGATCATTTTCAGGGGTTTTCTCAAAATAATAATACTGTATATAATTTAAAGTTAAAGGGTAAGTAAATGATAAAAAACAATCCAGTTTTCAAATTTATGTTTATAGTTTAAACCAATTTCTTTCCGTCTGCAAGCACGGTCGGCACATATCATTACAGTGTTACTTAACAATTTTCTTAAATGTCTCCACACCGAGCTTATAGCACGGCAAGTCTTGAGATTGGAAAGTGCATGTTTCACAGTCACCCTGTATGATTTTACGTACCTATTACATTTTCTACTATGTGACCAAGGATATATACATGTATATATACCGTGTATCTTAAAGAAAAGAATTTTACAAACCTAGAACTGTAAGTGAAATAGTGAAAATGATTAATGTTCATTAAAATGGAAATAAAGGTTGTAAATTATATTTCGGCTATAGAAATAATAAAACTCCTGACAAATAAATGCGATAAAATATCCTAATATACAGTTCTATAAGAATACAATATTAGACTATAAAATAGTGACTGCTGTAAAATTTTTGAATCAATGAATATGTTTCGATAAACCACATTCCCCTTGTAGCGATTGACCAACAACCCGGACCTGCTCCGAGAATGGTAACCGTGGCTGTCTCTCCGAGACCGGCAACCGTGGCTGTCTCTCCGAGACTGGCAACCGTGCCTGCCGCTCCAAGACCGGCAATCGTGAATCAACTTGCCGGAGAGAACAACAATGGCAGGGATAGAAAAAGGCCACTAGCAGCACTGATCAGAGAAAACCAGCTGTGATACAGTAAGTTCATCACAAAGAAAGTTCCCAAATTATTTAGAGAACTCGGAGTCAACTCCGATGATGAATGAAACAAATAAAAAATATATAAATGCACCATGTCAAATACATTATGACAATAAAATGTCATATAAATAATAACGTGTTTTTGTCTTTATCACCAGAAATAGTGTAACTCTCGACACTACCATGTATAGATGAGAAAGTTAAAGTTCTGAATTTTGACTCATCTCAGTTAACAACCATTTTGAGAAATTCCCCGCAACAATTGTTTGTTATCAGATGTCCACTGTCCGGGTCAGAGTAAGCTGCAAACGTCTAATATAATGTTTCGTACATTTATCATTATGCATAAATCGGAACAATTTGTCTTTTTCAGTGTTCAAAATATCAATGTACAAAACGGAGCAAGAACAATTTTGTATTAGATGAGAACCGCTAGACACCACATGGAGCAAGTGTAAAGATATTATTATTACTATCATTTTTATTATTATGACGATTTATTTTCGTCACTTAATTGAATGTTGATTGTTGAAAGTAAATCATTATGACAAATCACAGTCTTTATACTACAAAAAGCATTGTAGAATTTGAAAGTTTTCACGAAAAGAGTACTTTTCCTGTTAACAGTTGCAACTTTAAAGACTTCAATTTTTATATGAAATTTACTTGCCTACATTTTTTAAACATACAAGACTGTTAAAATGTTTGATAAAATACTAATTAAAAATAGTTTTACTTGGTCAGGTTGGTTGAAACAATATTTTATTTCAATCAAATATATATACATAATATAATTATAATAAAATGCAAAAAGGAATTGAATAGAAAGCTTGAAGCTGTTTTAGAAACTCTCTCCTTGGAATGAAACAAAAGTAATTAATGATAACATTCGTATATAAACAAAATATTGTATGCTTGTAATTCTTAAAATTAAATATTTATCAATGTACAAAATGAAAAAAAAAGAAAAAAAAAAGAAATTAAGATAAACATCTTAGCTACGACCGGGCGTACGACCGTTGATAAAACGACACCCTGATGTTTATCTTAATTTCTTTATTTTTTATTGGATAAACACAAGTTAAGTACAACCAGAAATAATACGAAGAGCCTCGATTTGGATTTTTTGGTTGGAGTTTTTGTTTGTCATAGTAAGACGAATTGTCCCAGGCAGCATCCAAATATTCAATCAAATGTCAAATGAAGGCAGGATTTTCGACAAATTTGAGACCTCTCATAATACTTATTGTCTGCCAAGATTTTATTTTTATTTTTGCCACGTGCTCATGCCAAGATCTGTTACTTGAAAGGTCACATCCAAATACTAATGATGTTTGACTTTTTGGATTGGGACATTGTTCATATATCATGTATATAGTGGTGAATGAAACGGCTTGATTACCTTACGAGAAATAAGTAGAGACTCGATTTTGCTTGGTTGAAATCGACAAACCAGTCATTAGCCCATTTCAAAACTTTACAAAGGTCAAAATTTAAGATATTAGCAGATGAGTGTGGCTCATCGACAATAATGTAGAGACTTGTATCATCAGCAAAGAGTCGAATGGATAAATTCATATCCTCAACTATGTCAATAATACATACAAGAAAGAGTAAAGGACCAAGAATAAAACGCTGTGGAACATGGAATATATTGGCAAGACTTCGGAATACGTACCAGAAAGTACAAGACGCTTAGAGTGTCCAGAAAGAAAATCCTGAAACCAGCGAATAAGAACACCAAATAAGCCAATTACTTTAAGTTTATGAATGAGGCCACCATGCCAGACGCGGTCATATGCTCGGGAAATATAGCAAAAGATAGCATGGACTTCTTTTCCTCCGTCTAGAGCTTGACAAAAAGTGTCATAAATAGACAATAGTTGATTTGCTGTTGAATCATTCTTTATAAATCCAGATTGCAAATGTGTTATGCAGTTGTTTGATATGAAGAAATTAAAGACGTGTTTATGAATTATACGTTCTAGCACTTTGCTGATTATAACTAGAGGCAATAGTAGGATCGATCTTCTTAAAAATTACACAGACATTTGCCAATTTCCATTGAGATGGGCCCTTACCAGTTTCAATTGATTTATTGAAAAATGAGAAAGTGGGTATGTCAATTCTTGAAAGAGTTCAGAAAAAATTTTGTTGTTGATTATGTCAGGGTCTGCTGCCTTCCCTTATGTTAACAGCTTTAATGTATCTAGTACTTCCTACTTAGTGATAGCTATAATTTCTTACTGTGGTTTATTTGATCGAGAATGAATGTTAGGGATTTAATTGGAATCACTAATTAATGTCTGCGACTGAAATAATTTGTTCAGAAGGTTGGCTTAATCATAATGGGATCTCAGTATTTTTCCATGATCTTTTAATATTTGTATACCCTTGATTATTGACGATGTTGATATTTGATGTTTAAAAATTTTTCAAATATCTGCAGGTGACATATTTCCATTTTTAAGTTTGTCTGCAAGTTTCTGTGATTGTTGCCGCTTCGCTTGTATGAGTAACGTTTTTTTATCTGCCTGTATAATTGCCAATGATGAGGATTTTGTGTTTCTGTGCTTTGTCGTTTACGCGTTTGTGTTTTCTGATTTGTTTCCTTCGTTTTGCATCAATGGAGGCGATGATTGGCGTATCGTGACTATTGTGTTAGGTTTATATTTGGCTGCAATGAAATTGATTGTGTCTGTGTATAGATTTCTATGATGTCATTTAGAATGGTATCCCATTGGAAAGCAGAAATCTCCTTCTTAAACCTACATAATCACTTTTATCATATTGACATACTTTTCTTTTGAGATTTTGCGAAGTTGGTTAAGAGGAATCAAGAATACAGCAAATAGGGCAGTGACATCTACCGACTTGATCAAGAAAGGGGTCTCCATTGCCATATGCAGAAACTCTGCAATTCATGAAGCCTAAAGATAGATCTAAAAGGGAATTTGAAGAAACAGTATAATGTGTTGGCTGTTGTATTACTTTAGTCAGATTGTATTTGTTGCAATGCTATTGATTTTTGTTGCCGATGTATGTTTTTGTACGTCTAAGTTGAAATATACGGATATAACTATATCAGATATAATTGTGTCAAAAGCGAGACCGAATGACATGTCTATCTGAGAGAGCACGGAAGGGTAGAATTCTGAGGACGATAGAACGTATCATACAGCAGTTTCTATTCTTAAGAAAATCTCCAACCAAATACTTTCCACACTTTAAATCTCTAGATATATCTTTGAATTGCATGGATAGTGTTTTTAACATAAACCAAAATACCTCCATGATTGTCCGTACCTCCGTCGTTTTGAAAAGGGGGAGGATAATTATGAAAATATAAACAATCTGTATCAACAGCGGCGGCCAGTCAGGTTTCTGTTAATGAGATAATGTAAAACTGATCAAGTTCACCTTCAACGATATCCTTTTCCTTTAGAAAACTTTGCACATTATAATGCACACATGATAATGAGTGAGAAAAGCCGGATAGGGAAAGGAATGAGGATTTTGATATTTATGATATATCACCTAAAGAAATAGAGGAGTTATGACACTCTGGTGCAGGGTTTTGTGAATGTCACCACAGAGATGAAGAATAAGACCCATCCAACGTATCATTTCAAAGTGATTTAAATGTTTAACACCTTTTACTCTCTGTTGCCTTTTTTTAAACAGGCCCACCCATCCTCAATATACGTAATACTTTGCCAGGAAAGTACTTATGTAGGGATGAAGAAACCAATACAGCATCGCAACCGGACAAGACAAAAGAAAAAAGACAGAAGTGGAATAAGAAGAATAAGAAGAAACATAATCCATAAGGATACATTTTGTAAATTTTCTTAAAAGGGTATAAACTACAAAGCCTACGTAAATAGATAACAAACATACTTGGTCAGGTTGCTTGTCTTGCCATATTCAAATCGTTCTGGCCAATAAGAATCAAAGTGATAGAGTAAAAACAAACTGACCGTTAAAGGAAATAATGGGTTTTCACTCTGTATAACTTTTTACACGTACCACATGAGGTACAGGCTAAAAATCGATGTTTATTTTTGTTGGTGTTGTTTTTAATAAATCGAAGCAGGCAGCACTTCAAAGAAAAGCTGTTATCGGCATGCAATAAAAAGCGTTACAGAAAAAAAACTCGGATTTTCATAGAATGGCTTGAACTTCCTTCTCGAGTTACATTGTATTTCCCGTGCTTGACGCTTGTTGTCGCCCCATTCGCTGATGTCAATCCGGTAAAGTCTCCAGTACTATTAAAATATTAACATATAATATAACACAAAGAACTACAAATTGTCAATGGAATTAATGTTATTGCCTTTTAGTATTGTTTTCATAGCATAGTGTTACTGTGTATTTTATGTATTTTGTGCCTGTATCATTGAAAAAAAATCGTCGAAATAGTAGTATTATGTATATTTTCATGCTTTAAGATCTTTTGTTTACAATATATTGATAATATAGTCGTCACCTGACATATTTTGTACTCCCGTTAGATATAAAAATGGCTAGCCATACGGTGACAGCTGCCCATAGAAGCGTATACATCCGTACTTGTAGCCAGCAGCTGTTACAATTAATATATATAACCAAAGTCATCTGATAAATAGAGGATATTGAATGAGTGTAGTTTAATACTAAATTTACTGATCGAGTTGAATAAAATCATATTATGCAAGCCTCTGGCGAGCATAATATTGTTTTATTCAACGAGTTTAATAAATTTAGTATTGAATCTACACGAATATAATATTCTATTTATCACATATATAAAATAAAAACAGTAAACTGTTAAAATGAGTATTTTTTCAATGATGCGCCCATTGTGTAACGCTAACATCAGCGCGATGTAACAAATGACGTCGCGTCAAAGTGTTATTACACTGGTGTAATATCGTTTTTATTTAATTGGTTTATTACATTCCTGCGCCGCGGTTTATGTGATAAAAGTTTATATGAAATGGCATCACAATAGATTCTACAACCGTATTTTAATTTGATATAGATTTATCTTGGACTTATACACTTGACTTTTGTTCTATGATAATATCAGACATGATAGATAGCTTAGAAATGCTTACCTTTTCTCAACACCATCCTCCAGAAGGAAGAGACGACACTTAAAGTCTATGTTCAATGACGACTGTTGAGGAATCGTGAATTTTATTTCCACCTGGTTGGAATCACTCACTATAATACACTGTGTATGAGTCAATGTTTGTACATGCAAATTAAAATATCCATCCTTTACATATGCCATGGTCTCAAACTCTGTTTGCATTAGAGGATCTTTTCTTAGCTGCCATTTTTGACACATCGGTAAATGCGTTGTACCAAATTGATCAGGATCAGTCAAAAAGTAATTGTCATCACATAAATAATACAGTCTAAATGGTAAGTCTCCATTTTTGATGACGTCATCTCCATTCGGATTAATGACGTCGTGAGTGACTGTGCCCCAATAAGAGTTAATAAAACGCCAATGTCCGTCGACCAAGACAGCGTTCCATTCACCAAAGTGTTTGACCTCGTCGATTCGGTCTCCGACTTCGTATGTTGATCCCTTAACAGTCCCGTGTATAATGACACAGGGTATGTCCGCATATCTGAATATAAGGAAAAAGTTGGTTTCTTATCTGTCAAAGAAATTGTATTTTAAATGATAATAATTTATTCTGATGTCGCAACAACCATTAAATGTAGAGAACTATTTTTAAAGACTAAATCTACCTGAAAGTTTATTGTGACTGTATTGCTTTCCCACCAAAAAAAATTACATCGGCCAATATCGTAGCAAATCGGTTATTTCCGGAACGTTATGTTTTGCCAAAATCTTGCGCATTAGATTATTTACAATCATTCATCCTTTATCGCTATGTGCTAAATTCCGGTTATAAACGGTTAAAATACTATGGAAATATTTAAAACCGATGATTGTGAAAAATAAAGTTCCGGAAATGACCGATTTATTACGATATTGGCCGATATTACTAATTTTTGGCGGGCAAGCATTGCAATAGACAGGTTTGCAATATTATAACCTGACCTGGTGTATATGTATATTGAATTGAAGTATCTGCCATTTTTGATCTACCTGCATAACTTAGAAACAAGCTCAGCATAACTTTTTTCTTCATTTTTTATACGCCACAGTTCAAATAGAACATGACTCTTCGCAGGTTTTTTCTCCAGTGGAAGTTGATCAATAGGCTGGCCAGTTATCCATCGGTAAATGACCCGGATTTTTGACATTTCATCGTCATATCCGGCGATAAGGTAGTTCACCAAATCCTTCAATGGCTGTCGATAAAACTTGGTTGGTGTCTGAAGGAAAAAATAAAAATATATAATTAAAACACAGACCCCTTTAAAAATATTATTAAAAGGACAGATTATCAACCGTCTACTATAATAGTTTCCATGTCCTTCCTCTGAAAAGTGTTTTTAATCATCCGTTGTTGCATGCTTTAATCGTCTGTTTGATTTATTTTGATAAAAGTGTCCCTGTTATCACCTTTGGTGCTAACGATGTTTACTTTTTGTTTTGTTATTTAACCAAGGAATGTAGACGCGAAAAGTACTATAGGTTAAAAAGTCTCTGGTGTTACAATCACTTTTATCATGACCTACGTACTTTAGATGTTGATAGTACTGTTACTTATGTAATAAGAAAAATAATCTCAGCAACGTGATACACTAACATCTTAACTCCAATTGGTCTATATTATATATTATAAAGTAATGAGGTAAAAAAAATAGTTCTTTTTTTTTTTTTTTTGGGGGGGGGGGCGGGGGGCAGGTTATGTCGAACCATCAAAGCGAAAACATCAGGTGCCCCTACTAGCATCGGACACTTTAGTACAACCTCTGACGCTCCGTAAGTTAGCTATTATAGATCGTCGGGAAATAAAAGAAACCAAGATATTGAGAATAAGAGATGACATTCAAATGGTATTAACATTTAAGCCGCGTCACGACAAAACCAACAAAATGCGTTTGCGTTCAGCATGGATCCAGACCAGCCTGCGCATCCGCGCAGTCTGATCAGGATCCATGCTGTTCGCTTACCAACCCTATTACAAGAAGCAAAGCTGATCGCGAACAGCATGGATCCTGATCAGACTGCGCGGATGCGCAGGCTGGTCTGGATCCATGCTGAACGCAAACGCATTTTGTTGGTTTTGTCGTGACGCGGCTTAGACGTTATTTTAATGACATTCACTTACGTTCACAGCTCTGTTGTCCACATCAATATAGTCGTCCAGATTGAATATTTCAGCTTTCTTTGTCGGCGGTGGGTGTGGTCCAGGAATGTCCGGATCTAGGGCACTGATGTCGTCGACATAACAATCAAGCTTGTCGCTATATTTGAATGTCGGCTGTAAGGAGTACAAGCCTGGTGAACAACAGAACTTGCTCTGTTAAATCGTAAATCGCTATTTCCTAGGTAGTACATGTCGTCAATTTAAGTGTGAACAGAAGTATAATTTTGTCTTCTTTATTTAATTATCTATATAGAATATCGGCATTTGAAGATGATATACCATGTGCGCTTGCTGAAATTGTCAAGGGAACGTACAGTTGATAATTAAAGTCGTGACGGCATTTCCACGTTAGCAAATTTAGTATTGAAACGTTTCATCATGAAATAGTTGCTCAAAGACATGCTTTTATTAAACAGCAATGGAGATTCGAAACTAATAAGTTTAAGATGATGTTTAATTTAGAATGTAATTTAGAAGATTGGTCTTCTTTTGAGACATAAATCACTTTAATGTTTGCTGGTTTTAATAAGGTTACCAGTCATGAGTGTTTCGAGCATGATTTTTTGTAAAGGCTGTGCATTTAATTAAAGTTTAAATTTGGACATGTTTAATTTGCTTATAAAAATTCCACCCACTTTTGATTTATAAGGTTTTTTTTATTATATCTTTATGGCTTTATATAGTATTATAGTTAGCCAAGTTATGCCATTATTTAAGTTTACATTAATATTGCGAACATCTCATTGTTGGAGTAATTTGAACTATTTCTCGTAAGCTTTGTTATGGATTAACTATTGTGCATTGTACATTTTAAATAGTTAACCTCTGTAGCACCGCATTTGGTGTCCAACAAATTTTAGGATGTCACCCCAAAGTGCGTTACGCACTTATTGGCCAAATACCAAGGTGCGTTGCGCACTGTGAGGTACAATCTTGACCCTAAAGTGTCTTACACAGGAACATATGCAATTTTAGCATAAAAAAAACGATTGAAAAAGGTAAAATGTATTAATTAGTACGTCGGATAACAATAGCAAGCGGTATATTATTTTATGTATTTTTTTTAATCTAAAGATTGCGTTTTGCAAATGATTATAACTTTATATTCAGTTATGTGTCTCAAATAATAAAGGATTTGAAGTGGAATAGATAAATATAGTTGATGTGTAATGAGTGCAATAATACATTAGATCACGTAGATAACACGTTGCTTAAACTTTGTCCATTAACTAGCATTGTGTACCGATAATTGTAGTGGTTGCGTGATGTACACAATTATTTCAATCTGATTAAAATACCTTTTGAAGCGGTGACGACTCATTGAAAACCTAAATTCCCTATTGCTATAAGGTTATATATCCAAAGGAGATAACATTTCTATATTTATTACTAAATAATCGTTCTTTCTCTGCTGAATGCTGTAGTGAAAGTCAGGTGCCGGGAAAAATGACCGTTTAAGATGGTTAACAAGATAGGTGCCAAATAAAATAATCAAGATGTTAAATCCATAAAATTATATGGTGTAATCAATGGCATTTATTACAGGAATAATTGATTAAACATGATTGTATAAGGTTATTTCTGGAAAGCATTAAATCTATCTATTTTCTGAATTGGCGGTCATTAACGTTTACATTAAATACGCTCGTGTCATTGATATACACTGACGGACTTTGAAAACGCACCAGTTGAGCTTTTACATTTTAATAGGGAAGTGCATATTTGATTTTTATTTTTGCATACTGTGAAGGACACATGTGTTTATAATTCTCACTTCAAAATTTTTACTGTATCACTGCTTCTTTTATTGAGTTTAAGCCGAAAATGCATGGTAACCGAATTAACAAAAGTCACAACGCTACTTTATTTATTATAAGATATAATAAGTTTGGGTTTTGCTTTAAAAATTTTATTGCATTCTATAGGTTGCATCTACTTGAAACGTTTTCTTTTTTTATCTGGATTGCTGTTTATATGAAAATAAGAGGCAAACGTATTATTTCTAAAGAAGAAACACTCATTTCAATGCCAAATAAGCAAAATAGGAAGCGCCACAACATTTTCTATACATGTATATTCGAACACGAATTTGTTAACTTCACGATTCCTGGAAACTCTTACCATGTTTATATAGTAAAGCATTCTTCAATGCATAGCTTGCAGAAAACATAAGACAATATTATACCTATGTTGACAATTGAATTCGGCGACATGCGCTAGTTCGAAAGTAGCGATAAAGAGATTTACCGAACGTAACCAAAAGAGATAGCTCTGTTGTTTTCCAGACACAGGGTTGGTAGTTAACAGACGACCAGGGGCACTCATTATCTGTAAGAAACGAAACGAAATTTACATATAATTTCAATCTATGTCAAGCGTGTTGATAATTGTAAAAGACACATTATGCTTCATATATGATTTTTATTTTTATCTCTCAAAAGCTTTTTAATGTTGGTTTACTTTTATAGTATCTAAAACGTTACTTATTGGCCAATTACCTGAACCATCTTTTCGTCTGTTGCTTTTTGGCAATTGGCACTGTTATAATGAATCAGAATTTTGTATGGAAGTCAAAATATTACTTAATTTAGATTTTGCTACATTTATGACAAATTATTTAACATTTATTGCCTCTTTCTTTAAGTAACAGGCATTTAATATTTTCTGAAAACATTATCTAAAAGTAAAAGAAAAATCATGTCTGCACTTTCTAAAGTCGTAAAAAAATGTATTTGTTTTGAGGACTAATATGCCTTCTTTAATTGAAACCACTAAAGGTTTAAAGAGGAAGTTAATGACCTCAGATCCCCTTTCAAAATTCCATTTTATTTAGTCCCGCCATTGTTTTCTCATTTAGGGCACAAGCATTATTTTGATTGGTGACCATACGCCGCTTTTCATGGAATGGTACGAATGTGTCACATTGAAGGTTCCATGATAACCGCCGTATGAACACATCTGCGGATGTTTTTCAATTCAAAATTTTACCGTTTTCATGTTTAAATTATGAATTCTGCTTAAGACGGTGCTAGGGGGCGTGGACGGTAGTTTGCGCTTGCAGTACCGTCCATGAATAGGCTCTATCAAACCGAGCCTCCAAATATTTCAATTTTGCCGTGTTGAGCTTTCCTAAGGGATTCTTACTTTCTCTATTGCATTGATTTCCGTACGATTGATTATCAAAAAAAAGAAAGAAAATAAACAAGCTAGACAACAACACAAATCAAATTCAAACTACTAGTACATTCAACCTTGTGTCCTATAACTGTGTCCAAATGACAAGGTTGCCCACAGTTTCATTGTTTGGCAAGTCTACGGACGGACTGCGATAACATGACAAAGTGACGGTTGGACAAGGGTATATCTATATGTCCCCTAAAATTGTGAGGAATAAAACCTGCTATAACCAACATAATGGGTTTGCGACCAGCACGGATCCAGACCAGCCGGCGCATCCGCGCTGTCTGATCAGGAACCATGCTGTTCGTTTACCAACCCTTTAACAAGTAGGGAAACTGATAGCGAACAGCATGAATCCTGATGAGACTGCGCGGATGCGCAGGCTGGTCTGGATCCATGCTTGTCGCAAACGCACTATGTTGATTTTGTCGTGACGCGGCTCATATCTTAAGCAATCACGTAACAGCTCATTATGAAACAAAAATTAACTCGCTAAAATTTAGGATCAGAATGATATTATTAGATAATATAAATATTTTAAAAAGAATACCTGCTTTAAGATGCCAGGCGTTACCCTGTCAGAAATCTGTCTTTGTGCTACACCGTCTGTAAAATTAACCAATAAACTTTATCAAATTGTTCAAACTAACAATAAAACACTTTTATTCAACTTTAACTTTATCCATTTATTTACACGTATATAATATCTAATAATTGATACTCCTGTAACTAAGGTGTTAATTAAGTATCGATCAACTAAGTAAGAATTCCTTGTTAAAGATTTTATGTGCTGTCTATTGATATTATCACGTTCAGCGTTCATTAAACAATTGCATTCAGATTACAATCAAATGATCGCATTTCCTACCACGTAGTAGTTTAATACGTCTATAGTTATGTCAAACCGGCATTTATTATAAGTTTATTCTGCTCTACAAATGGAAAAAAACTATATAATGGCCGTCTTGTTCGTTCGCCCTTGTGTCTGCGTGTCTGTATGACTGGCCGCTTCCCGTCTTTTACACACTCATGTACGGTGATAACTGAAAAATATTGAAGGAAGTTGATGAAAATTTCACACAATGATAGAGTTAAGTCGAAATTTTACATGTTAAAATGGCGAGGGCGCGCGGGGCGAAAACACGCTCATCAGCGGGGTATGGGGCAAAACGTCGGGATCTAATTGTAATATTAATTAATTATTTGTAATATTAATTAATTAATTAATTAATTGTAATTATATATTGTTATGGGCCGCGAAGAGAAATGTTTATCGTAATAGGGCGCTAATTAGAGTGCTGTTGTTCGCGCCTCCGGCAAATAATTCTTCAAAATCACGACTTTTGCTCCGCGCCCTTGTTTATTAGCGCCCGCCGTTTTAGTAGTTAAAATCTCGACTTTTCGCACCGCGCTCCCGCTAATTAGTCATTAGTGGGGCACGCATCACCACAATAACGTTCTTTTTTTTTTTTACCTTTTTTGTTCTTTTTCTCATATAAGAGCTATTTTATTCTAAGATAAATTAATATATTTTATTGCCGTATTTTTGTACCACTGAACCGGCTTACGAGGATTTACTGTAACATACAAGCGCGTTAAAAACGTTAAAACTATAGACGAAATTATACTTATCTATCAAAAAGTCAATTAAAGCTACTCAATCTTCCTATTAGAGATATATAACATATACTGTGTGTCAAACTACTTTCAAATTGTCTGTGCATTCTATTACAGTACTATACCAAGATATGTACCGTATAACTGGTTATTTCTGCTGATAGCTAACTTCTGCGATATTTTGCTGGTCCCCTCCGACCGCAAAAATTAAATTCGCAAATATTTCGTAGTTTTATTTGTTATTTATCCCGTTTGTCACCTCAATTTAACTGTTAAATTAATCAATACACACAGCTGGTACCCTTTTGCTCTAGATAGAGAAAATCGTTAAAGAAGTGTGAGATGTAATTCATATATGTATAGTCAATTTAACACAAAATATTTTACATGTAGTTTATCGAGTAATAAGTTTAGCAAGTTCGTGTTTGTAGGCTGTAAACTATCATTTTCGGTAGCTCTGCTAAAATACGAAAATGATTGCCGGATCCAAATTGTCCATTATCAGAAAGTTTGGCAGCTCGTGAAATAAATAATTGTAACACAATTGTTAAGGAATTAGGGTGATTCCGCTTTGTCATCCATGTTTTTTTTTAAAGTGAGAGTAGGCCAACATTTATATAACAACAAAGCTCACAATGTAAAATTATGAACGATTAGCAATTTCACTTTTAAGGACTTTTTATAAACAAAAATAAAATGATTATAATAAGAAAATTTACATTGACTGTGCTAGATTTCTGAAGACAAAGTACAATCTGTTGCAAAGTTTAAGTACATTTCATGAATGGCAAAATCCAGTTTAAAATCAGTTTTAGTGCAGACAAATGCTATTTTCTGCAGCAAATACAAAACACTTTTCAAAACATAATTCGATTTGATAATGTTATCATTGATAAGATAATTGTGCGAGTTCATTAGTGTGATAGAAAATATGACTTCACAGTCATAGGATCGGAAACTTATCAAATTTCAAAATGATTTTGTTTTTAATGAGCATTTAACATAAGTCACAAGACAAAGACGAAAGTTGGATTAAAGATCAGATACTATTTGTAAAAAGTTTGTAAACATATTTTTTTTACTTTTAGTAACTATTTATGTTTATGTAATTTTATTGTATGTTTGATTGCAACACACATTATTTTCTATGGGAATTCATTTACATATTCAAACATGATGGATAAATCTGTTTTTAAGAGAAAAATATTATTCTTATTTGGAGTTTCAGTTTTAGGTTTTCTTATCTTTCTCGGGCGGATAGTCAAATATTTAGCATCCGAATATATTTACTGTACTCACAATTATAATGCAGACGAGTTATGCGCAGAATGTATCAACAAAAGGCCTTGTAACACCGCACTTTGGGGTCAAACGCACTTTGGGGTCCGACCCCAAAGTGCGTTACGTACTTTGGGGTCCGACCCCAGAGTGCGTTACGCACTTTGGGGTCCAATTTCGACCCCAAAGTGCGTTAAACAGGTACATATGCATTTTTTAACATCAGGCAAACGACCGCACTTTGGGGTCATAGAAAATTAATGCTCATTATGTTTTAAATAATATATAGTAGTTAAAGTGAATGGTTAACAAACATCAAGGTATTAAATAGGCGCAAAACATGTGTCCTGGATTATAGTAGAATCAATAGGGATTAAAATGGTCTTGATTAGTAAGTGAAGAACTTTCAACAAATAAATCACTTAATAAAGAATTTGTATCAATTATTAAGCTTAAAATATTTCATTTTCTCAAATTGTCCATTTATTTTCAAAGAATGTACACCGTTCATTAACTCCTTTGATTTTAGATAAATGGGTTATTTTCCCGTTTTTTTATTTACACATTTTATAGAAATACAATAGTCTTAGCATAGACAAAGGAATAAATTCTGGGCAATCTTAGTAAGACATTTCAGTAAAACAAGTGCCTGAAAATATGTTGAAAGAGCCTTTATTTAGCTAAATGTGACATATAATAAACTTGACTAGGTGTAGATGCGACTTTAAATAGTAGTCCGTACAGGCAGTACTAAAAATATCAACTATTTAAGTAGTCGCATATTAAGAGCGGAGCTTCAGAATGATGTAAAATTCGCACTGGGGGTATAGAGGGGATTGTGGGGTTTCGGTCCCCCCCCCCCCCGAGGGTTAAAAATAACTTTTTAAATGCCTATTATGCTTTTATTTGTTTTTCTAAAAAGCTTTTTTATTCTGATGTTTTTCTATATAATCCAAAAAAATACACATTGGTCAATTACCTGAACTGTTGCATTTTTGGCAATGATGAGTACAGTTATAGTAAATTAGTATTTTATATGGAAGTAAAATACTACATTGTTTTGTCTACTTTTATGACAAATAATTTCACATTGATCGCTACTTTATTCAGGTAAACAAGCATCTTACATTTCTCTGATACCATTGTTTTAACATATAATATATTCATGTTTGCTCTTTCTAAAGAAGTATGAAAGATTATCCATTAAAAAAAAGCCTCTGGCGGACGGTTGTTACGGAGCTTACAAAAACCTTAAAGTTTGTTGATAAGCTTAATAATGTATTTGTAAAAATCACTTTTTACAGTCCGATCGAAAAACTTATGTTCACCAGAACATTGCAATAGAGTAAATTTATAGTTCTTTGGAAAAATATTAACTGCATTTTGTTTCATTTCCAACATATTTAAAAATGGGGCTCAATATGGCACAAAATTATCAAGTAAATGACTGACCAGAACGGGACATTTTTCGCAGCATTGTTAATTTTAAGAATACAAATTTCTGTAAATTACAGTACCCCATTGCAAATGCCATTTGCAAATGCCAACATTTTCATTTTGGAGGTATCAAAAAAAATAACAACACTTATAGTATATATAATAGTCCGCGTAAACCCAAAGAAAGGTTCTGCCTATTGTCTCGATGTAGTTAACATTTTACACAAGGTGTCTGAAAATCATTAAAGGGTTTTGGAGTTCAGGAGCGGACATGAACCCTAAGTCTTAATTCTTTGACCTGTAGGTTGATCCCCGACCTTGAGCCGGCACACCTGGCATATAAGTTCTGCACATTATCTGGATGTGCTGAAAAATTGACCCAATTTTTCATAAAAATCCTTCAAAGCTTTAAGCATTTTTTTTCTAAATCAGTGGAATATAAGGACCTTTAAATAAAATACATATAATTTAAAAATGGGCCGAAAAGGGTCTGCCGTAACCAGACTTGACCAGCCGAAAACGACTGCGCCGATTCCAAAAATGGGCCGAAATGTTGACCAAACCACTGTGCTAGTTTTATACTCAACTATAGGCTGTTATGAGATGTGAAGGCTGTTTTGATTGGCTAAAATATGTACGAAAAACAAAAATTAGATATGTACAAAAAACTAAAATAAGCTATGAATGCAAAACTAAAAATAAAAAAAATGTATGCCAAACTAACAAACAATATGTATGCAAAACTAAAAAAAAAAAATGCAAATGTCATTTTATGCCACCGTAATTTTGTTATATGAACACAATTTTTAGATATTTCAAGTGGTAAAATTTATGAAACTTTTTATCACTTAAGCATCATCAAAGTATTGACCGCCATTTTGAAATCCACCTCAAATATTTCAATGTCGCAGATCGAAAAATAAGTCAGTACTCAGTATTTAAGCAGAACTCAGATGACACCTTTAGACCTCTGGAACCCAAAGTGCGTTGATATGTAGCATATTAACGCACTTTGGGGTCAATTTCTCGATTTTGACCCCAAAGTGTGTTGGACCCCAAAGTGCGGTGCGAAGTTTAACGCACTTTGGGGTCGGACCCCAAAGTGCGTTTGACCCCAAAGTGCGGTGTTACAAGGCCTCACACTCCCATTCCGGGTAAAATACCACAACACATTCATCAAATCTTTTTCTATGAAACAAGCAGTCATCTACCAGATAAACTTGTAAAAGCTAAAAATAGTTGGATACAGTACCATCCGAACTACACGTACACTTTATGGAACAAAACTTCTATAAAAAGTCTTTTAGAAAGAGAGTATCCGTTCCTAAGGAAACTTTACGACAGTTATGGGAACTGGGTCAGACGAGCTGACGTTGCACGTTATCTCGTGCTTTATCATTATGGAGGCTGGTATGTGGACATGGACGTTGCTTGCCGTCGAAGGTGAATGGGTTTGATCCTTTATTTTATATTGCAAGTTTATTATGGAAAGTAACAATTTTCACTTTATATAAACATTGTATGGTTAGTTCTTACTTTAATCGAATTATGTAATAGATATTTTTTTTTCAAATAGGGTTCAATACGGAAACATTGTTCAGTATAATATATTCTTTAATTCATTTTAACTAATAGAAAAACTTAAAGAATATTTTCTTGAAAAATTAATTCTTGATTTTTGTCTGTTTGCTGTTATATTTAGATTTTTCAATATTTTAGCCATTGGTTCTAGGTACATGCATAATAAAACAATTAGTGTGTTCATTTCTCTTTGCATGTGTCACACATAATTATCCGAGCTCATTTTTTTCAAAGATTGTACCTATGTAAAATGATTTATAATATCTCATAATATTATCAAGTTAGAAACAAATTACCGGTGTGTTTTAAATAAATAATGATATGCCATAGGGAAAAAATATAGGTAAATGTATGCATGATAGAAATGACTGTTGCCTATTAACTTAATTTTCTGCATTATGTTTTGACTTGGTTTTAAAACCACATTTACTTTTAAGGTTGTTGTGGTAGGGAAGGTCTACCAAACGGTGTGTCAATGATACCTTAAATATAGAAATACTTACTTTGTAGTGTCATGGTCTATTTCTTTATATGGCACCACAAATATGGGAAATTTATTAATTTAATTGTCTAAGTTGCACGAACGTGTTTCTCCACTGAGTTTAAATGGATATGATATCATTTAAGAGGCTGATGGGATAGCTCTTGTAACGCAAAGACAAACTCATATCAATTAAAAAAAAAACTATCAGGGTGACATCGACATGCACCTCGCAACTCAAAATGTCTCCTTGTCATGCTATTTATGTACATGTATTTAACGTACACTTAAACCCCAGTCACACTAGTGCTTACGACTACTTGCGACCACCGGCGACTTGTAAAACTGACGATCATTAGCGATTGTCTGCGACTAAAACCATTTTTGCACAAATAAATTTACTTTTGCTAGTATCGTAAGACAAATCATCATTGACAATCGCACGACAGCTCATAAGTAAACGTACGATGGTCTCAAGATTGCCTGGAATTACTTACGACTACCCGTGACATAACATGCGATCACCTACAACTTGTCGTACGACCATCACACGATTACTAAAGACTACTTAAGATTATCAGTGACTAGTGGAAATTTGTAAAGACTGTCGTAAGATTGTCGCAATTCCGAACGACCATCGTGCGACAGCCTTAAGACCTTATAATATCACTAGCAACCTGTTTGATCGCAAGGAGATTTTTGTGCAAGCTCAAAAACCTCTCTACGACTGAAATTGGTCGTGGGACCTAAATAAGATAACCTGCGATTGTCAAAGATCACCGATGACCGTCGTAAGACGTTTTTAAGATTGTCTGCGACCAGAGGTCACTGGTGATCGTCAACTGGTCTTCACTGGTCGTAAGCTCTAATGTTACTGGGGGTTTACTGGTCATCTATATATGTAAATTTTAATAGGGTTATAATTGTATCTTACAGTGTGAGAACTTTAGAACAAGAGGCACAGGAACTCAATAAAACTGCAATTCTCCGGTTAACCGAGCCAGTTGGATTTTCTAACGATTTTATTGGGATTTCTGAACGTCATCCATTTTTATTTTCCGTCCTGACGTCACTCCACATGTCCAATAGATGGTTTATTTTTCCATACGCCAATACCATGTTTTCTACAGGTAGGAACGTTAACGCTTTCTTATTTATCTAATATGTCAAAGACAAAATTAAACTCAAAGAAACTAACCAATCTCCTAATCTTTCTCTGGTATGTGTTTTATGAATGTCAAAAATTGGAATTTGAGAATTTTTCGAAATTAAGATTATGAAATGAAACTGTGGTGACATGTTCTGTCGTAGAAATGTACTTTTCATCCTTAAAAAGGTGATTTTTTATCCAATGAAGTGTTTTCATTCAGCAATGACTGATGCGACAAACTCTGTGGTTAAATCGGTGATTATTTTATTACGGTGAACTCAGCTTATAATAATTATCAAAATTGACTGAATACACCGTTCTTACATTAAATTAAATTTGATGTAAAACCTTCTGTTTCCTGACCCAAATAGTTAAAATGATGTTAAAATAAAGAATATTTAACGCAGATGCCAATTGTTAAATACATGTTGGTCTATATCAACATTTTGATGTTTTTCATTAACAGGACCAACGTTCCTATGGGGACGGTACCTAAACTACCGGGACCAGAATCAATTCTACATCATAAATAACTCGTCCTACAGCAACTATCTCGTGTTAATGCACAATTCATCATGGCATAGTTGGACGGAATTATTGTATGGTACCTGTTTCGGGACACGCGCATGCTCCTTGTCGTGATGACGTCATTAGCGTTCTTATTATGCGTGACGCTGTTTTTGTGTAAATATAGTGGTGTTTGCTCACTGACAAGTATACTAGATATAGAATTGCTCACTGACAAGTATACTGGATATAGAAAGCGTTCAGTATAAGTTGAAGAAATTTATTTGAAAATATCAGCTCTATGTTGTAAAGCAGAAAATCGATTTTAAAACACATTTCGTTTTGTCAATAAAAGCAGTAGAGAAGTAGAATAAATGTCTTACTGTAACAATAAATCTGCTTTCCTTAATAATATCTGTCATATGTTACGGTTTAGTTCGAAATACCTGTTCCATGGGTACCCCGCCCATTGGGCGGTAACGAGGCTTGCCGAAATAACTATTGGATCAATGTCTTCGCACAACCTTCAAACCAAGACCAGTTGAAACCCGTACATTCCCGAATTAAAACAATACTAGTATTACAATTCTTTCTTATCCATGACAGTTCGTGATCAACAGATGTAAGAAATTCACATATTTTAAAATATTTTAAAAGTAAAGTTATGCCAATCCGTGACAGTACGCCCACGTATTTTTACACTAGATCACAAATGACACAGGTTCTACGAAGGCTTATTGTATGTTTGATTGCAACACACATTATTTTCTATGGGAATTCATTTACATATTCAAACATGATGGATAAATCTGTTTTTAAGAGAAAAATATTATTCTTGTTTGGAGTTTCAGTTTTAGGTTTTCTTATCTTTCTCGGGCGGATAGTCAAATATTTAGCATCCGAATATATTTACTGTACTCACAATTATAATACAGACGAGTTATGCGCAGAATGTATCAACAAAAGGCCTCACACTCCCATTCCGGGTAAAATACCACAACACATTCATCAAATCTTTTTCTATGAAACAAGCAGTCATCTACCAGATAAACTTGTAAAAGCTAAAAATAGTTGGATACAGTACCATCCGAACTACACGTACACTTTATGGAACAAAACTTCTATAAAAAGTCTTTTAGAAAGAGAGTATCCGTTCCTAAGGAAACTTTACGACAGTAGAGTAAATAGGGTTCTATACGGAAACATTGTTCAGTATAATATATTCTTTAATTCATTTTAACTAATAGAAAAACTTAAAGAATATTTTCTTGAAAAATTAATTCTTGATTTTTGTCTGTTTGCTGTTATATTTAGATTTTTCAATATTTTAGCCATTGGTTCTAGGTACATGCATAATAAAACGATTAGTGTGTTCATTTCTCTTTGCATGTATCACACATAATTATCCGAGCTCATTTTTTTCAAAGATTGTAACTATGTAAAATGATTTATAATATCTCATAAAATTATCAAGTTAGAAACAAATTACCGGTGTGTTTTAAATAAATAATGATATGTCATAGGGAAAAAATATAGGTAAATGTATGCATGATAGAAATGACTGTTGCCTATTAACTTAATTTTCTGCATTATGTTTTGACTTGGTTTTAAAACTACATTTACTTTTAAGGTTGTTGTGGTAGGGAAGGTCTACCAAACGGTGTGTCAATGATACCTTAAATATAGAAATACTTACTTTGTAGTGTCATGGTCTATTTCTTTATATGGCACCACAAATATGGGATCACTGGTGATCGTGAACTGGTCTTCACTGGTCGTAAGCTCTAATGTTACTGGGGGTTTACTGGTCATCTATATATGTAAATTTTAATAGGGTTATAATTTTATCTTACAGTGTGAGAACTTTAGAACAAGAGGCACAGGAACTCAATAAAACTGCAATTCTCAGGTTAACCGAGCCAGTTGGATTTTCTAACGATTTTATTGGGATTTCTGAACGTCATCCATTTTTATTTTCCGTCCTGACGTCACTCCACATGTCAAATAGATGGTTTATTTTTCCATACGCCAATACCATGTTTTCTACAGGTAGTAACGTTAACGCTTTCTTATTTATCTAATATGTCAAAGACAATATTAAACTCAAAGAAACTTACCAATCTCCCAATCTTTCTCTGGTATGTGTTTTATGAATGTCAAAAATTGGAATTTGAGAATTTTTCGAAATTAAGATTATGAAATGAAACTGTGGTGACATGTTCTGTCGTAGAAATGTACTTTTCATCCATAAAAAGGTGATTTTTTATCCAATAAAGTGTTTTCATTCAGCAATGACTGATGCGACAAACTCTGTGGTTAAATCGGTGATTATTTTATTACGGTGAACTCAGCTTATAATAATTATCAAAATTGACTGAATACACCGTTCTTACATTAAATTAAATTTGATGTAAAACCTTCTGTTTCCTGACCCAAATAGTTAAAATGATGTTAAAATAAAGAATATTTAACGCAGATGCCAATTGTTAAATACATGTTGGTCTATATCAACATTTTGATGTTTTTCATTAACAGGACCAACGTTCCTATGGGGACGGTACCTAAACTACCGGGACCAGAATCAATTCTACATCATAAATAACTCGTCCTACAGCAACTATCTCGTGTTAATGCACAATTCATCATGGCATAGTTGGGACGGAATTATTGTATGGTACCTGTTTCGGGACACGCGCATGCTCCTTGTCGTGATGACGTCATTAGCGTTCTTATTATGCGTGACGCTGTTTTTGTGTAAATATAGTGGTGTTTGCTCACTGACAAGTATACTAGATATAGAATTGCTCACTGACAAGTATACTAGATATAGAAAACGTTCAGTATAAGTTGAAGCAATTTATTTGAAAATATCAGCTCTATGTTGTAAAGCAGAAAATCGATTTTAAAACACATTTCGTTTTGTCAATAAAAGCAGTAGAGAAGTAGAATAAATGTCTTACTGTAACAATAAATCTGCTTTCCTTAATAATATCTGTCATATGTTACGGTTTAGTTCGAAATACCTGTTCCATGGGTACCCCGCCCATTGGGCGGTAAAGAGGCTTGCCGATATAACTATTGGATCAACGTCTTCGCACAACCTTCAAACCAAGACCAGTTGAAACCCGTACATTCCCGAATTAAAACAATATTACAATTCTTTCTTATCCATTACAGTTCGTGATCAACAGATGTAAGAAATTCACATGTTTTAAAATATTTTAAAAGTAAAGTTATGCCAATCCGTTACAGTACGCCCACGTATTTTTACACTAGATCACAAATGACACAGGTTCTACGAAGGCTTCGCATGCATTGTAGCAAACTAAATCATCACCTTTTTATTCGTAATATAGTCCAATCTCCCTTTTGTCATTGTGAAAACCTGAAAACTATTATCATTATCTTCTCGAATTTCACTTTTACAGTTGCCACCGTATTTACCTTCTTACAAAAGTGCGTCAAATTACTCAAAATGTCTTTCTCCATACTCTCCTGTTCGGGGAAGCTTCTCTTTCTCAGTCTGGTAATGCGGAGTTATTTCTGGCCGTCCAAAAATAGTTTGAAAGTGGGAGGTTTGCTTGACAACTTAATATCGCATAGTAGAACCTACGCTTTAACTAAAACATAGGTACACACTTATAATTTATAGTTAATTATTGTCTATATTCTGACATTTATATTATGAATTACTAATGTTTTTTCAAAACTATTTTATTATCAACATTCACACATGATTGTTTCATGGTTTGTTATCACACATGAAACTTTGTTTATGGTATTGCATATTTTCCATCATCGACCAATAACATTAAATGTCCTTTTTATTTGCAAATAAAATGTTGAAACCATTGATGCAACTATTTCACATGTAAGGTGCATTACAAAATGATGCAGTCGTGTATTCTCATTCTTTTGTTGGTTCTGCTCAAGTTCCAGGAGTGAAGCTGAAAAATCGCTATATGACCTGTATTTGTGAGACGTTTTAATGTCTAAAAACTAATTAGTACTTTGATTGTCCGAATTAGAAGTTATAAAAAACTTATCAGGTAAATTTTAAGTTTTATATGTATTTTTTAGAAGGTACTAAGTTCAAATTAAACCTTACTAGGCTTAAAAATAAAAATGATTTAAACAAGTTTATATGAACATTAAGATTGTGCTACCTAAACAATTTTATAAATGGTTGCCAGTATAAATGATTTTCGATCATGCGACCACATACATGCACAGAGGGCGTGCGATCATATACACGAATCACAGGAATCCCCTTCTTATATTAGAAAGGGACAAAGAGTTGTCCTCCCTTTATTTAAAGGGTAGATGTGAAAGACATATAGCGATTCCTTATTAATAAGTAGGCTTATTTTCACAGTCATGTTTAGAATCGGTTTATATACAAGCAATGCAAACCATGCAAGCAGGGTATCAGTTTACGTCTTCTTGGACATTTTTAGTTTAACGTTGTTTCTTCTTTTATTTCTATGTATATAGCAAACTTATTTAAATCTTGTATAAAAAAACGACCGTTTCAAACAAATTTTATATGCACTAAATATGAGAGATCTATGGTGTCTGATTTGTGCCCTTCGTGTTTTCGTCACGCGACCCGCCATGCGAAAAGTCGAGAGTCAACAAGTTGAAATGGCGGGGACGCGGAGAGAAAACACGCTTATGAGCGGAAGGGAGGGCGGGGGAGGGGGGCTAATTAGCGTGTTTATATCTTCATGTCTATGTAACTGTATCTTGTATCATAGTTTGGAGACCTTTCTGTTGAAAATGTGCCAGGGTTAAATCGTCTACATATACATGTACAGTGCGTTAACTGGAGTGCGGGTATTAGTTACCCGCACTCCAGAGCATCCCCATTGATTGGCTTATTTTTGCTGGGGTTTACATATTGTGACCACAGAGAAAGGAAAGCGACAGAAATGTCATATTCAGATGTTCGTTCATTGGTTCATTTTTGCCGGGGTTTCATATTGTCACAACAGGGATCGTGCTTTTGTGTTTGACTATGATACAAAAGAGAAAGAACACTAAAACACTTGGCAATCTGATTAATACTCGGGGGCTACGCCCCCTTGTACAAATCAGATAGCCTCGTGTTTCGGTGCTCTTTCTATTACATATGCCTTTTAACAGACACCTGTTACGTTTTTTCAAGATAGAAAAGTTTTCGATGCCAAAAGTGCATGCAGATGCATGTTTTAATGACACAAAGTAAGCGTATTTTCAAATCAGTCGGAGTCCAACAATTCAATGTCACATTTAATTTTCTTTAAAACATATCGAATAACCCTACGTCTATGAACTCAACAGTGAGTGACATAACAAATTACCTACATAAGGAAATTTGGCATTGCGAATCTTGTTTGTACTATACGTGTTTTGACAATAAAAAGCTTTTTCGATGCAACTTCCGCATTAATATTTTTTCTGTCATCTGAATATTTTTACAAATGAGACTCGCCATCACAAAACAAACATAATGCAAGGAAAATTAAATAAGACTTGATCTTCCGTTCAAATACTTTATTTTGTAATGTTTTTAAATATAAAAGTGTTTGATTTGTAAATGTATATAATTATTTATTTGTATATATTCGGGAAATAAATGTGTTTAAATCATTTAATATTTACAAAAATTATCTGTCAATTTTTTATTTAGAATAACCATTTAAAGGATTAAATACTAATATCTAAATACCTAAATATTGATGTTACAGTAATGAATTTGAATATATGTTGGGATAAAGTGTATTTTTTTATGCAAGGCTTGAAATAGAATAGTGATTATTTCCCCTCCCGGTGCCTACCCACATCAGTCACTGCTTCTCACAGATATAGATTGCACAAAAAAGAACATATTTTTCTTAAATAATCATATTTTTTTTGCAATCTGAGAAGTATATTGAATAAGACTTTAAAATGTCTATTTATATAAAAAAATCTATACCCGATCCAAGCTGGTGCAGGAGGGGATGCAAAGATACTTTCAAAGTTGCCTGAAATGATATACGTAAGTTGGAATACAGCTGTTACTTTCCATAAAGCGCATTATACTCCATCTTTTATTGTTATTTTTCAAAAGCCTTTTACTGGTGATATACATTTATAGTCTCCTAAAACTTACTTATGGTCCAATTACCGAAACCATCTTTTTCTGCTGTTGCATACTAGCAATAAGTACAGATATGATAAAACATGATGTCAAAATAACACCTTTTTTACATTTTGTTGCTTTAATGACATATTTATTAATTAATCCCTAATTTCCTAAGGTAACCAGTATATAACATGCTCTTGAACCATGATAAATATAAACTCCATAGAACTCAATTCCAAATATATAAAGATTTACTTGTCTCTGAAGCATAATATGACTTTAAATAATCCAATGATCTACAATTTTCAGTATGTATGAATAACTTTATGCTTCTCTCGGGATTGATTATCTTAATAGTGTTGTTATTAATATATTTTCTAAGATTTAACAGTTTTATACATGCTATGTCTCAAAGCATGTGTATACATGTATTATTTATCTCCATCATTAATTTAATTTGATTCAATGAATTCGATAATTCAACCAAACTTTGCAAACTTTCTTGAATCCTTACTGGTAAGGTCCGGTTACACAGAGTTTGCGGCTGCGATGCGATCGAGTTGCGATCGTCAAAAAGCAACAATGGCAACAAAGTTGCAAATGTCGCCGAGAGGGTTCAATGGAAGTGCCGACAAGTTGCAAGACAAAATCAGTCCCCGCCAGTCTTTTGACTTTTAGCCGATAAGAAGGCGACTTAACGCCGTAGATGCGGTGAATTCTTTGCGAACTTGCTGCAACTTATCGGCTATTAGTCGGCAATGACAGACCACAGTTCTGAGCATGCGCAGACCAATCCTTCTGCATTCAGTAGCTCCGCCTCTATTTATCAATTTTAACAGGTTCAATTTACCTCGGTTCCTTCAGCAGTTAACATCAAAATGGTCCGAAGAGGTGGCAAAGCAAAGAAAAAAAAAACAACTCAAAATCCTGAAATACAATAGACAATGGGCTTAACCAATGAAGTATGTTTTGAAAAAAAATGTCATGACGAGCCTGGTGATTCAGACAAACATAGTGTCAAGTCTGTTGGAGAAACCCAATGCCGAAAACATGATGATGTAGATGTTGCCATCCCCACAACTGGCAGTTAAATGACTGATTTCTACATTTTACAACATAATATCGCCGATAAGTCGCTGATCTGAAAGAAACGACGGATCGCCTTTCATTCGCTGCCTAGTCGCAGAATATAATTAACAAATCGCTGACCGATCGCCGTCTCTGCGACGAATTATTGCTGACGAATCGCAGAGCAATCACAGACTAGTTGCAGAACCTATGGTCGACCGCTCGGCGATCATATTTGTATTCCATATATGTGCATACATTTGTTTCAACTGAAACGTCACTCGCCGACAAATCAGTCGCAATGAAGTCGCATCGCAGTCCCCTGTGTAACCGTAGCTACTATACTACCTATGACCCAAGACATTTAACGATGTCAATCATGGTGTCGATTTGCTTGACACTGCTTAATAGGTTGAGCATTGCATCATAACAGGTAAAGATACCAAATTATATTTCACTTACGTTCTTAGGTAGTAAAGACTACAAAGTTTCCATCAAGTTATTTGTATAATTTGGCTGGGGGATATCGATTTTACTTTTACAGTTTACTTTTTTAAATAAATATTATTAGGACATATTGATATGTCTTTCATTTTATTTAATAGGGATCATTACTACGGTGCTTAACGGATATTAGACAGACGGTTCCATTTTGTCGGTGGCTGTATGTTATGATAGACCGCTTGTTGGCGGAAGATTCATTCTGCTTTTGAACCTTTTTGGCATATTCTATCATAACTGTATGTAGCCGATGGCGGTGCATCCACGAAACATACACTTAAATTCGTATCGGTATTTCGCCAAACCTTAAATAAATAGTGAACACTAAATTTGCCTTCTTATTTTTGTGTTGGGGTACTATACAGTTCAATCGCTTTAGATTTAACTCTTTATTCCATCCAAAAACATATTTCATAACGGGCTCATTGTTGGTTCAAAATTGATTAGTTATCTTAAGAGCAACTATATAAGAAACTGAGCGGCGTGGTAGCGGTCTCTTTCGGATAATTACTTCGAAGAAGGTAGTATGTAAATTTTAAATTATTTCAACCTAAATTTTATCTAGTTTTACTCAAAAATAACCACACCCTGCCATCCTCCCTATACACATATGATATTTGCTGTCGAGAGTTTATTGTAATTTTCAGGGAGCTTTTCATCGTGGCAGGAAACAGAATTCTTGTCTTTGAAGAGGTTAAAACTAATAAAGACATTGTTGAGCATCAGCTTCCGTTAACGGCGCAGACGTTGATATGACATGTAGTGAAGTTCATTTTTCATTTATATGGAACATAAATCTGCAATTAATATGACTTGAAGCATGATTTTCATTTCCCTAAATTATAATATCAAATACTTGAATTTACGTAAGGCATATTCTATCATAACAGTATGTGGCCGATGTCGGAACACACATGAAACATATACTTAAATTTGTATCTATATTTTTTTCACCAGCCATTGACAAAATTTCACCCAACTTTAAATAAATAGTGAAAACAAAATGTTTCTTTTTGTTCTTGTGTTGGAATAAATACTTACATTTTATTGTTTTATTTTTGTACCGCTTTACCGACACACGAGGTTTTACTGTATCATACAAGCGAATGTATAGACGAAATTTTACCTATGTAATAGTATCAAAAAGGCACTCAATCGTTTTATAACTTAATGGTGATAACATTTTTGTGTCAAATAACTTTCAACGTGATCAAGGTAAATGTAAATATCTACACACGTATATCTATATTTATATAATCATACATTTTGAATGAAAATAGTTTTAAATTTTACTGTAACATCTCTTAATAACATTATTTAGGTTAAAATATGTAGTTATAAATAATTGATTTTTTTATAATGTTATCATTGATAAGATAATTGTGTGAGTTAGTGTTTATTTGTGTTTCCTATGGAATTCATTTACATATTCAAAAGAAATGGATAAAGCTGTTTTGAAGAGAAAAATATTATTCTTGTTATTATTCTTGTTTGGAGTTTTAGTTTTTGCTTTTCTTATCTTTCTCGGGCGGATAGCCGAATATTTAGCATCCGAATATATTTACTGTACTAACAATTATAATGCAAACGAGTCGTGCGCAGAATGTATCAAAAAAGCCTCAAATTCCCATACCGGGTAAAATACCACAACACATTCATCAAATCTTTTTCTATGAAACAAGTAGTCAACTACCAGATAAACTTGTTAAAGCCAAAAATAGTTGGATACAGTACCATCCGAACTACACGTACACTTTATGGAACAAAACTTCTATAAATAGCCTTTTACAGAGAGAGTATCCGTTCCTAAAGACACTTTACGACAGTTATGGACACTGGGTCAGACGAGCTGACGTTGCACGTTATCTCGTGCTCTACCATTATGGAGGCTGGTATGTGGACATGGACGTTGCTTGCTGTCGAAGGTGGGTGGGTTCGATTCTTTATTTTATATTGCAAGTCTATTTTTTTTTAAAAAGTAACAATTTTAAGATGAAATTTACATTCTATGATAAGTGTTTACTTTAATCGAATTCGTTACTATTTTACATTATAGACATTTAAAAAAGGGTTGTATACGGAATCATTATTAAAAGTAATGTATTCTTTAATTCATGTTTACTCATTGAATCACTTTAAGAATATTTTATTTCGTTTGGTCTGTTGAAAAATAAATTCTTGTTTTTGTCTGTTTGCTGTGATATTTAGAATTTATAATAGTTTAGCTATAATAAAACATGTAATGTGCTCATTTCTCTTGCCATGTATCACACATAATTATTCATACGAGCTCATTTATTTCATAGATTGTGTGTAAAATTGACATTACGCCGCCTGTCAATTAAGCTGGCAGGGGTATTACAGATAAGCCAATCGGCGATCGTTATCAGTTTCACGCTAAGATGTGTTAGAAGTTCGCCATTTTCCTTAGACAAGCTATTTGTATAAGACAATCGTGCAGCAGTATTTATATTGAAATTATTTTGATTTTTTTGGTCAATTTAAAGCTATTAAAGCGGTAGATCTGAGTTATAAAATATCCTGACATATTGACAGATGGAGCCAGTTAGTTCATTTTACAAAAACAAAAAAACATCAGTAACTTTCTATAGGATATGAAGATAATAAGTTATATAGCAGGAACGAAAGTTGAAACTGGCTATACCAAATTGCATTAAACAAAGAAAAAGTTTAAACAACTTCATTACAATTATGTCTATTCATAATAACATAACATATTATAAGGTCAAAATATTCAGATGATATGACATTTATTTTTGTTCGTTTACAACATTATGGCAATAAAATGCTGCAGTAGAAAAAAGGACTTGAAGATGAAATGAGATAATATGCAATGAATATTTTAGGAGAAATTATCCTACCTAAATATTACTATTACAACCCAAATGAATTTAGATTTAACATTAAAATACATTTCATGCTTCAATAACATCATATCTGATCACGGTTTTAATTTAAAGCCGAGGTTTGGTATATGCGAAACTTATTTTGAAGCGAATAATATTGCGTTTTCTCACGAAAATATCTAATGTACAAATATACATATAATCATATATCCTACAACAAAGTTAAGCAAGGGCAATTTTCTCATTTAATTTTGACAATTTATGCACAAATGCCTCGTTGCATATAAGTGGTTTTGCACATAAAAGTTAACCAAAAAAAAAAAAAACATTCGTAAATGTTACTGTTTCATTGATATAATTTTACTTTTATATGTTCCGCTACATCAATTTTAACTATCTTTGAATTTGTAAACTAAAATTACATTTTGTTAGTAACAGCTTCTTTGTAGTCAGCGAGAAATATAACAAGATCTTTGCCAAACGTTTTATTCATCATTAATGGATGAATGCGGTTATTTGTTACTTTTTTAAATATCATAAAACATTGAACTATTCAATAAAAGCATTAAAATGTTATGTATACAAAATTGTATAAGGTAAATTTTTAGTCACTTAATCGGCGGTCGGTCTATTTACCACCAGACACCCAAAGATACCCCAAGACACCCTTAGACTACACCAGACCATCCATAGACTACCCCAGGACATCCCAAGACTACCCCAAGACACACATAGATTATCCCATGACTACCCAAAGACACCCCTAGACTATCCCAAGACACCACAAGACACTTTTACTGACATGTAAATACGGTCTTAATTTTACCTTGTTAACGGGAGGTAACTATGTGATTTCACATGTACACATTGAATTATCTCCATTCATTTATTTTTCCTGTATTTTTTTATGTAAGATCATAAATATATTCTTTTTTGTGCAAAATAGTTTACAGCAATGAAATCATGCCGAGGTTGCGGGGTTTTGGTGTAGTGCAAGTTTTATTATGCGACAATGTCATTTTATGAGTGACACATTTTTGATGCCTGATTATTAAATCGATCATTTTCTGTTTCATTATATTGATTTTTTTTCTATTTCATCTGCCCCACAGTTCACAATATCAAGATGGTCTTATTGTTTCAGTAAAGTTGATTTTAATCAAAATATTTTTTCTATTAAGAGCACATTAATATTGACCATACATGATTAACAATATTTGACAGTAGCAAGATGACACTTAAATAATCAGTAGTCGTATATAATAAAACTTTCCCAATTTACACCATAAATTAAAGTGTCTTGGGGTAGTCCTGGTACTAAAAATGGGTATATTTCTGCTCCAGAGTAGTATTGGGGTGTCTTGGGGGTAAATGAACCGACCCTTAATGGCATGACAGTTTCGCATAAACATCTGTGCAGTCTTTTGTCGACCGGGTCACGTGAATAAGTGGGCGGAGCAATCTCAACCCTGGCGTAATGTCAATTACCATGATTGACAATATCTCATATTATATGCAAGTAAGAAACTACTTTATGGTATTTACCAAATAGATAGTGATTTGTAAAAGGAAAATAGAAACACTTTAAATGTATATATACATGTAGTAATAACTGTTACATATTTACTTGGTTGGATGCGCAATAAAATATTATGTAATGGATTATATTTACTTGATTGGATGCGCAATAAAATATTTTGTACTGGATTATATTTACTTGATTGAATGCGCAATAAAATATTATGTACTGGATTATATTTACTTGATTGTATGCGCAATAAAATATATATTATGTACTGGATAATATTTACTTGATTGAATGCGCAATATAAAATATTATACTTCATTATTTTGTTTTGGCGTGGTTTGACTTTTAAGCTGTTGTGGCAGAGAAGGTCTCATGTGATGTGTACAAGTCACCTTAATTATAGATATACTAACTTTCCGGAGGAGTGTCATGTCCCATTTCTTTATATGACTCCACCAATACTGGAAAAAGAATCTATATTATATATGTAGTAATTATCTTTGTGGCAAGAAAGTGTAAGAACTTGTTGCCCAACCCATTTGAATTTTGATATATACTCATTATTTGTATGATATATTTGTAAACATGTATTAAATGCAATAAAATATATTTAAACTAAGAAAGTGTTTCACCACCGAGCTTTAATGAATATGCTATCCTTCAAGAGGCTGATAGGATAGCTTTTGTAACGCAAAGAGAAACTCATATTGGCTGAAAAAAAAACTGTCAGGGAAATCGACATGCACCACTGCTCAAGATGTCTCATTTCTATGATATATAGAGAGATAATATTTAATAGGTTTATAATTTTATCTTACAGTGTGAGATCTTTAGAACAAGTGGCACAAGTACTCAATAAAACTGCTATACTCAGGGTAACCGAGCCAGTTGGATTTTCTAACGATTTTATTGGGATCACTAAACGTCATCCATTTTTATTTTCCGTCCTCAAGTCACTTCACAAGTCCAACAGATGGTTTATTTTTCCATACGCCAATACTATGTTTTCTACAGGTAATATTGAACGTAAACGCTTTCTATTTTATCTAATATGTTAAAGACAAATGAGCCGCGTCACGACAAAACAAACATAATGGGTTTGCGACCAGCATGGATCCAGACCAGCCTGCGCATCCGCACTGTCTGATCAGGATCCATGCTGTTCGCTTACAGACCCTATTACAAGTAAAGAAACTGATAGCGAACAGCATGGATCAGACTGCGCGGTCACAAACCCATTATGTTGGTTTTGTCGTGACGCGTCTCAAATATAAAACTCAAACAAACTTATCAATCTTCCAATCTTTCTCTGGTTTGTGTTTAATGGATGTTAGAAATTGGAATTTGAAAATTTCTCAAAATCAAGATTATGAAATGAAATTGCGTTGACATGTTCTCTTTTACTTTTAATTCATAAAAATGTTCAAAATAATCGCACCAAAAGACATGTATTTCTTTATCACATGTTGCCCATTTTCTGTTTCGAGGGTCCATTTTGTTACATTTTGTGTCTTTAGGGTTTTAGTCTTAGTGGGGTTCCTTTATCGATATCGAAACTGACAGAATACACCGCACATTCACGAAGTTGAAAATGGTGTAATATATTAGATATAAAAAGAAGGCTTTTATTAACATTCTAATGATCTTTCTTTTCAGGACCAACGTTCCTATGGGGCCGGTACCTAAACTACCGGGATCAGAACCAATTCTACATCATTAATAACTCGTCTTACAGCAACTACCTCGTTTTAATGCACAATTCATCATGGCATAGTTGGGACGGCATTATTGTATGGTACCTGTTTCGGGACACGCGCAGGCTTCTTCTTGTGATGACGTCATTAGCGGTCTTATTATGCGTTACGCTGTTTTTGTGTAAATATAGAGGTGTTTGCTTAATAAGAAATAAAACTTACAAGTTTCGTGATCTAGATAACGTTCAGTATAAGTTCAACAAATCTATTTAAAAAAATATCAGCTCCATGCTATTTAGCAGAACATCGATTTTAAAACACATTTTGTTTTGTCAATAAAAGCAATAAAGAAGTAGCATGAATGTCTTACTGTGACAATAAATCTGCTTTCCTTAATAGTATCTGTCATATTTTATGGTTTAGGTCAAAATATCCGTCCCGAGGGTACCCCTCCCATTGGGCGGTAACGAGGCTTGTCGATACAACTATTGGATCAACATCTTCGCACAACCTTCAAACCAAGACCAGTTGAAACCCGAACATTCCCGAATATACTAATATTACAATTCTTTCTTACCTGTGACAGTTCGTGATCAACAGATGTAAGATTTTCACCTATTTTAAAATCTTTTAAAAGTAAAGTTATGCCAATCCGTCACAGTACGCCAACGTATTTGTACACTGGATCACAAATGACACAGGTTCTACGTATACATGCTAGGCTTCTAAATCATCATATTTTCATTCGTAATGTAGTCTAATCACCCTTTTGTCATTGTGAAAACCTGAAAACAATTATCATTATCTTCTCAAATTTCACTTTTACAGTTGCCACCGTATTTACCTTCTTACAAAAGTGCGTAAAATCATTCAAAATATCTTTCTCCATACTCTCCTGTTTGGGGAAGCTTCTCTTTCTCAACCTGCTAATGCGGAGATTTTTCTAGCAGTCCAAAAATATTTGGAAAGTGAGAGGTTTGCTTCACAACTTAATATCGCATAGTAGATTCTACGCTTTAACTAAAACATTAGTACACACTTTCAATAATTTATAGTTAATTACTGTCTATATTCTGACATTTACGTATATTATGAATTACTAAATTTATGTTTGTTCAAGACTATTTTATTATCAACATTCACACATGATTTTTTTCATTGTTTGTTATCACACATGAAACTTTGTTTATGGTATTGCATATTTTCCATCATCGACCAATAACTTTAAATGTCCTTTTTATTTGCAAATAAAATGTTGAAATCATTGATGCAACTATTTCACATGTAAGGTTCATTACTTTATGCAATCACTGTATGCTACCTGTTCAAACTATCCGAATGATCCACATTTCAGTTATTTCCTCTTTTCTATTTTGCTGAAAGATGTTTCCTTGTATTTCTTTCCATCTTAATTTACGTTATTTCTCTTAAGTTCCTTAAAACAAAATGATACAGTCGTGTATTCTCATTCTTTTGTTGGTTCTGCTCAAATTCCAGGAGCTGAGGCTGAAAAATCGCTATATAACCTGTGTTTGTGAGACGTTTTAATGTCTAAATACTAGCTGGTACTTTGATTGTCCCAATTAGAAGTTATAAAAAACTTATCAGGAAAAATAAAAGTTTTATTTATACCTATCAGAAGGTACAAAGTTCTAATTAGACAATATTAGGCTTAAAAAATAAAAACGATTTGAACAAATTTATATGAACATTAAGATTATGCCCCCTTAACAATTTTAAAAAAGGATGTCAGTAAAATAGAGATTTTAGATCATGTGACCACGAACATGCACAGAGGACATGTTGCGTGCGACCACATACACGAATCACAGGAATCCTCTTCTCATACTAGAAAGGGACAAAGAGTTGTCCACCCTTTATTTAAAGGGTAGATGTGAAAATTTAAAGCGATTCCTTATCAATAAGTAGGCTAATTTTCACAGTCATGTTTAGAATCGGTTTATATACAAGTAATGCAAACCAAGCGGGGTATCAGTCTACGTCCTTTTAAGTCCGAAATTAAAATTTTGAAAAGATCATATATAAGTTCTTGGACATTTAATAGTTTAACGTTTTTATTTTCTACTTTCCTTTCTATGTATTGAGCAAAATTATTCAAATCTTGCACTGTTTCAAACACGTTTAATGGGAGATCTATGGTGGCTGATTTGTCCCTTCGTGTTTTCCCCCGCGACCCGCCAAGCGAAAAGTCGAGGGTTAACAAGTTGAAATGTCACGGGCGCGGAGCGAAAAAACGCTTATAAGTGTGGGGGGGGGGGCTTATTTGCGTGTTTTCTACCTTCATGTTTATGTAACTGTAGCATATGCCTTGAAACTGACACTTGTTATGTTTTTTTCTCAAGATAGAAAAGTTTTCAATGCCAAAAGTACATGAAGAAGCATGTTTTAATGACACAAAGTAAACGTATTTTCAAATCCGTCGGAGTCCAACAATTCAATGTCATATTTAATTTTCCTTAAAACATATCGAATGACCCTACGTCTTTGAACTCAACAGTGAGTGACATACGTACATGCGGAAATTTGGCATAGCGAATCTTGTTTGTACTATGAGTGCGTGTCAATAAAAGCTTTTTCGGTGCACCTTCCGCATTAATATTTTTTCTGTCATCTGAATATTTTTTACAAATGAGACTCGCCATGACAAAACCAACATAGTGCGTGGAACCAGACCAACCTGTGCATCTGCGCAGTCTGATCAGCTATAACGTCTTTTAAACTTTGAATGCGTTATAATTCGTTGAATACTTGTTACAAAATAAAAATATTTCTGTCCTTTATATCGCTAGTTTTAGGGTGTTTTGAAAACTACTTTTTGATGTTATGATTATAGGGAAGATATTGAATGTCAGCAATGTATTTCCTGATCTGCGTTCAATACAAAAAGGACACAGAATCCAGTTTTTTTCTTAGCTGGCCGTACAGCAAAGAATGAATCAAAACTGATAAAAAAGATCTAAGTTTGTTTAAACAGGACTATTATTACTTGTACTTGTTTAATACTGCCGGATTCTATCATGACAAACATGCCTAGTAAACGATGGTATTAATTTGAACTGATAACAAATAAATCACAACCTCAAACTGAGATCTACAATCCAAATGTTTTGTAGTTATTCAACGCAAGCAACTTTTATTTCATTTATTGAAAGAGTCAAAATTTGGAAATATGTCTGAAAACTTCTGTAAATAGTTGCACTTTTATTGAAATTCTATAGTGAAGTATAACATATTATAATAACAAATAAGTTACTGTAACATATATATATATATATATATATATATATATATATATATATATATATATATATATATATATATATATATATATATATATATATATACAAAAAATGAAAACAAGTGCCGGAAAAAAGTCACATATAAAAAAAAAAAAAACACAGTCCATGAGTTAACTTATTATATTATTTGCCAACCGGTTTCTCTTATGATCATCAGGGCAAATCATTTGCCCTGATGATCATAAGAGAAACCGGTTGGCAAATAATTAAATAAGTTAACTCATGGACTGTGTTTTTTTGTTTTTATATATATATATATATATATATATATATATATATATATATATATATATATATATATATATATATATATATATATATATATATTTAATATAAGAGTATTTAAACAATCAAGCAAATGCTAAAGTATGTAGAAGAATATCATTGATTGAATGTGTCGAAATAACTAACACGTGCCAACTTCAAACTTCGTGTACATTAAATACATTCATGATTGACATAAAAAAGAGATTTTTTTGCAATCGAATCGTAGCCCTAATGAGTTTTCATTTTCATAAATAATACAATAATTCGTTGTCACAGTATATAAATAATGCTTTTTCAAAAAATACGGACACAAGAATATAGTGATTTAAAATATACACCACTGTACTTAAATAGTTTTTATTTGTTTGGGTCGTAAGACCAAACAAATAATGGTAGCGAAATTTCAGAGCCTAATGCTGTTAATTGCAAATGCCTAAAATAGTCCACTTTTTTGAGGCGGTTACTTCCCTTTATATGTACACTAACGCCGAAAATATCAGGGAAGATCAATGCGTAAAGATTGTCAAATAACAGGCGCATTAATTTTCAGGCAAAGTAGTCCCCGAATGGTCGAAGATTTCAAATATTGTTTCATTCTTTATAGATATACATGCTTACAGTAAGCCCCATGATTATTTACACCTGTGTTTAGCGTCGAAATAATAAGTTACAAACCCTAATTTAGAATAACATGGTTTTCTTCAGACCGTAATTTAGAATAACATGGTTTTCTTCAGACCGTAAACATATTATTTATTTGTGTATATTTTGGAAATAAATGTTTTTTAAATATTTACACAAATTATCTGTCAATTTTTTTTATTTAGAATAACCATATAATGGATTAAATACTAAAATATTGATGCCACGAATTTGAATATATGTTGGGATAAATTGAATTTTTATATGCAAGGCTTGAAATAAAATTGTGATTATTTCTCCTCCCGGTGCCTACCCACAACAGTCACTGCTTCTCATTAATAAAAATTGTACAAAAAGAACATATGTTTCTCATACAATCATTTTTTTTTTACAATCTGGGAAGAATATTGAATAAGTCTTTGAAATGTCTATTTATATATAACAAAATCTATACCCTACCCAAGCTGGTGCAGGAGGGGATGCAAAAATGAGCCGTGTCACGACAAAACCATTATAATGGGTTTTCGGCCAGCATGGATCCACACCAGCCTGCGCATCCGCGCAAACTAATCAGGATACATGCTGTTCGCTTACCAACTCTGTAACAAGTGGAGGAACTGACAGCGAACAGCATGGATCCTGATCAGATGGCGCGGATGCGCAGGCTGGTCTGGATCCATGTTGATCGCAAACGCACTATGTTGTTGGTTTTGTCATGACGCGGCTTAAATACTTTCAATGTTGCCTGAAATGTTACACGTAAGTTATAATGTTATACAGCTGTTACTTCCCATAAGGCGCATTATACCCCAGCGTTTATTGGTATTTCTCAAGAGCCTTATATACTTACTTCATAGAACTCAAGTCCAAATATATAATGATTTACTTGTCTCTGAGGCATAATAGGACTTTAAATAATCCCATGATCTACAATTTTAGGTATGTATGAATAACTTTATGCTTCTCTCGGGATTGATTATCTTAATAGTGTTGTTATTAATATATTTTCAAAGATTTAACAGTTTTATACATGCTATGTCTCATAGCATTTGTATGCATTATTAACTCCATCATTAATTTAATTGGATTCAATGAGTTCGAGAATTCAACCAAACTTTGCAAACTTTCTTGAATCCTTACTGGTAAGGTCCGGTTACACAGAGCTTGCGGCTGCGATGCCATCGAGTTGCGATCGTAAAAAGGCAACAATGGCAACAAAGTTGCAAATGTCGCCGAGAGGTTTCAATGGAAGCGCCGACAAGTTGCAAGACAAAATCCATCGCCGCCAGTCTTTATAACATGCTCAAGAACCTGGCTGCGATTATTGAGTGGCAACACGTTCGCAACTGCATTGCAGACTGTTCCTGACTGTACAGATATCAATGCGGCGATAGTTTTTAACGAGATATTCGCCGACTTTTCGCCGATAAGACGGCGACTTAACGCCGTAGATGCGGTGAATTCTTTGCGAACTTGCTGCAACTTATCAGCTATCAGTCGACACTGACAGAACACAGTTCTGAGCATGCGCAGACCAATCCTTCTGCATTCAGTAGCTCCGTCTCTATTTATCTATTTTTACAGGTTCATTTTACCTCGATTCCTTCAGCAGTTTACATCGAAATGGTTCGAAAAGGTGGCAAAGCAACGGAAAAAACACCTACAGATCCTGAAATGCGAGAGACAGTTGGCTTAACCACTGAAGAACGTCTTGTAAAACGTCCTAGTCATGACGAGCCTGGTGATTCAGACAAAGATAGTGTCAAGTCTGTTGGAGAAACCCAATGCCGAAAACATGATGATGTAGATGTTGCCACCCCCACATCTAGCAGTTTAATGACTGATTTCTACATTTTACAACATAATATCGCCGATAAGTCGCTGATCTGAAGGAAACGACAGATCGCCTATCATTCGCTGCCTAGTCGCAGAACATCTATATCTTATCGCTGACCAATCGCCGTCTCTGCGCCGAATTATTGCTGACGAATCGCAGAGCAATCACAGACTAGTTGCAGAACGTATGGTCGACCGCTCGGCGATTAAATTTGTATGTGCATACATTTGTTTCAACTGAAACGTCAGTCGTCAAAAATTCAGTCGCAATGAAGTCGCATCGCAGTCCCCTGTGTAACCGTAGCTACTATACTACCTATGACCCAAGACATTCTACGATGTCAATCATGGTGCCAATTTGCTTGATACTGCTAAATAGGTTGAGCATTTCATCATAACAGGTAAAGATACCAAATTATATTTCACTTACGTTCTTAGGTAGTAAAGTTTCCATCAAGTTATTTGTATGATTTGGCTGGGGGTTATTGATTCTACACTTTACTTTTTAAAATAAATATTATTTGAACATATTGGTATGCCTTTCATTTTTTTTTCAAAAGAGATCATTACTACGGTGCTTAACGGATATAAGACAGACTGTTCCATTTTGTCGGTGGCTTTTTGTTATGATAGACCGCTTGTTGGCGGAAGATTCATTCTGCTTTTGAACCTTTTTGGCATATTCTATCATGACAGTATGTGGCCGATGGCGGTGCATACATGAAACATATACTTAGATTCGTATCGGTATTTCTTTTAAGAATTTCGCCAAACCTTAAATAAATAGTTAACACTGAATTTATCATCTTGTTTTTGTGTTGGGGTACTATACAGTTTCAATCGCTTTACTCAGAAAAAAAACCACACCCTCCCATCCTCCCTATACACATATGATATTTGCTGTCGAAAGTTTATTGTAATTTTCAGGGAGCTTTTCATCGTGGCAGGAAACAGAATTCTTGTCTTTGAAGAGGTTAAAACTAATAAAGACATTGTTGAGCATCAGCTTCCGTTAACGGCGCAGACGTTGATATGACATGTAGTGAAGTTCATTTTTCATTTATATGGAACATAAATCTGCAATTAATATGACTTTAAGCATGATTTACATTTCCCTAAATTATAAGTATCAAATACTTGAATTTGCGTAAGACATATTCTATCATAACAGCATGTGGCCGGTGTCGTGACATACATGAAACATATACTTAAATTCGTATCTATATTCTTTTTCTACCAACCATTGACAAAATTTAGCCAAGCCTTAAATAGATAGTTAAAATAATTTTTTCTTCTTGTTTTTGTGTTGGAATAAATTCCAATATTTTATTGTCTTATTTTTGTTCCGCTTTACCGGCACACGAGGTTTTACTGTATCATACAAGCGAGTTATCAACGTTTAAGGTATAGACAAAATTTTACTTATGTATCAAAAAGTCAAGCTACTCAATCTTCTTATAACTTAATGGTGATATATAACTTATGTGTGTCAAATTATTTTCAAATTGTCCGTTCATTCTACTACAGTACTTTATCAAAATACATGTATATATATACACACGTATATGTGTTTACATTTTTTTATTATCTTTATGTATTTCATCATAAAATTTGAATGAAAATAGTTTTAAATTTTACTGAAACATCTCTTAATATATTTAAGGTTAAAATATGTTGATATAAATTATGGATCTTCTGTACCTTGATAATGTTATCATTGATAAGATAATTGTGTGAGTTAGTGTGATAGAAAATGTGACTTCACAGTCATAGGATCGGAAACTTATCAAATTTCAAAATGATTTTGTTTTTAATAAACATTAAACATAAAGTCACAAGACATTGTTTTATTGAAAGCAGAAGTTGGATTAAAGATCTTATAATATTGTTTGAAAGTTCGTTAAGATCAAGTTGTTTTTTTCTATAAGTTATACGTTAATTTAATTTTGTTGTTCGTTTGTTTGTTTTATTGTAACATACATTTTGTTCTATGTTTGTGGTTCCTTTGGAATTCATATTCAAAAGAAATGGATAAGTCTGTTTTAAAGAGAAATATATTATTCTTGTTTGGAGTTTTAGTTTTTGCTCTTCTTATCTCTCTCGGGCGGATAGCCGAATATTTAACATCCGAATATATTTACTGTACTCACAATTATAATGCAAACGAGTCTTGCGCAGAGTGTATAAACAAAAGGCCTCAAACTCCCATTCCGGGTAAAATACCACAACACATTCATCAAATCTTTTTCTATGAAACAAGTAGTCAACTACCAGATAAACTTGTAAAAGCTAAAAATAGTTGGATACAGTACCATCCGAACTACACGTACACTTTATGGAACAAAACATCTATAAATAGCCTTTTAGAGAGAGAGTATCCGTTCCTAAGGAAACTTTACGACAGTTATGGGCACTGGGTCAGACGAGCTGACGTTGCACGTTATCTCGTGCTCTACCATTATGGAGGTTGGTATGTGGACATGGACGTTGCTTGCCGTCGAAGGTGAGTAGGTTTGATCCATTATTTTATATTGCATGTTTATAATAAAAAGTCTAACAGTTCAAACTTGAAATATAGTCTATGATAAGTGTTTACTTTAATCCAATTACGTAATCATTTTACATTATATGTTTTAAAATAGTGTTCTAGACGGAAACATTGTTCAATCGAATGTATTATTTAATTCATGTGAATCACGTAAACATTTTCTTTTATATAATTGATCCATGTTTTTGTCCGTTTGCTAGATGTTATGTTTAGAATTTCTAATGATTTAGCCATATAATACGTCTAGTGTGCTCATTTATCTTGGCATGTATCACACATAATTATTAATATGAGTTTTTTTATTTAATAGATTGTATGTAAAATTAATTAGATTGTTAATATCTTTTAAGAAACTAAATACCGGTATGTACTTAATTGATGGTGATTTGTCATAGTAAAACAGAAATTTAAGATAGTAATTACTGTTACTTATTAACTTGATTGAATGCGCAATAAAATATTATATACTACATAATTGTTTGGCTTGGTTTGAAAACCACATTGACTTTTAAGCTGTTGTGGTAGATAGGGTCTCACAGATTATGTTTACAAGTCACCTTAATTATAAAAATATCAACTTTCCAGAGGAATGTCATGCCCTATCTTTCATATGACACCAACAATACTAAAGATTTAATTATCTATATTATACATATGGTAATTGTCTGTGAGGAAAAGTACTTGTTTCACCACCGAGTTTAAATGAATATACTATCCTTCAAGAGGCTGATGGAATAGCTTTTGTAACTCAAAACTCATGTTCGTTAAAAAACAAAATGTCAGGGAAATCGACATGCACCTCGCAACTCAAGATGTCTCCTTCTTATTTTATTTATATATAGATATACATATGATTAACGTACACTTACTGGTCATCAATATATGTAAAATTTAATAGGTTTATAATTTTATCTTACAGTGTGAGAACTTTAGAACAAGAGGCACAGGAACTCAATAAAACTGCAATACTCAGGGTAACCGAGCCAGTTGGATTTTCAAACGATTTTATTGGGATTACTAAACGTCATCCATTTTTATTTTCCGTCCTGACGTCACTCCACAAGTCCAACAGATGGTTTATTTTTCCATACGCCAATACCATGTTTTCTACAGGTAAGAGCGTTAACGCTTTCTTCTTTATCTTATATGTCAAAGGCAAATATAAAACTCAAACAAACTTAACTATTGTCTTCAGGTTTGTGTTTCATGTATGTTAAAGATTGAAATTGAAATTTGAGAATTCTCGAAATGTAACTTTGGTGTCATGTTGTCTTGTAGAAGTGTAATTTTCATTCATAAGAAAGGTGTTGTTTATTATCATTTAAATGTTTTCCGTTAATTTATTTTAAGTCTGGTTAAATCGGTGATTATGATTATTTAAGTTTGAACTTATCATCACTGAGTTTTGACGTGGTGTGAACTTTTTTTTGGGGTGGGGGGGGGGGGGGTTGGGATTTTATAAATCATTTGTATGCTGTGCAAAACTTTAGATAATTCGCTCGCTCCGTTTTTTCACCGTAAAATAATGTTAATTGTTCAAAGTAAGCCCACCAAAATACATGTTTTTATCTATCACCTGTTCCAATGGTCCATTTGGTTATATTTTGTGTTTTAAGGGTTTTAGTCTTAGTGGGGCTCGAAACTGACAGAATACACCGTACTTTCACGAAGTTGAAATTGGTGAACTAACAACACAAGTTCTCAAAATAAGATGTTATTTAGTGAGTACATAAAGGTCTTTATCAACGTTTTAATGATCTTTTTTTACAGGACCAACGTTCCTATGGGGCCGGTACCTAAACTACCGGGATCAGAATCAATTGTACATCATTAATAACTCGTCTTACAGCAACTACCTCGTTTTAATGCACAATTCATCATGGCATAGTTGGGACGGCATTATTGTATGGTACCTGTTTCGAGACACGCGCATGTTCATTGTCTTGATGACGTCATTAGCGGTCTTATTATGTGTGACGCTGTTTTTGTGTAAATATAGAGGTGTTTGCTCACTGAGAAACAAAACATATAAATATATTAGATCTAGAAAACGTTCAGTTTAAGTAAGGACTATAAGCTATATGTTATATATAGCAAAACATCGATTTTCATCACATTTTGTTTTGTCAAAAAAAAGAAGCTTTAGTAAATTAAAGTAAATATCTTACTGTTATGTTCAAAAAATATGCGTTGCTCCTTGTGGCAGCGTTATATACGAGGATTGATCAAAATGTTCTTGGCCCAATGTACTTCCGGTAGTCAGAAAAACTAATGATCTTAATTTACAATATAACCGCCCTCTACATCAATGTACTTTGCTCACCTGTGCTCCAACTTGTTTAACCATTCAAATAAAACTCTCTATTTTAGTCCTCAAGGAAATTACTGACCGCTTCCATGACACCTTCTTTGCTTCCAAAACGTCTACCACAAAGCTTGGTTTTAGTTTCGGAATCAGGTAGAAGTCGGAGGGGCCAATACCGGAGAAAATGGGGGATGGGGAAGAATTTCAAAGCCGCAGACACTTGCAGCAGCAATCGCAATTTGGGATGTGTGAGCTGGCGCATAGTCGTACATGAGCAGAACGCGTTGAGTCAGTTTGCCCCTCCTTTTAATAAATGCGCGATGTTTTGACGCAGACGTCTCAGTTTCTCTGCATATTGCGTATCGTTTATGGTACGGCTTTGCTCAAGATTGTCAATCATGATTATCCCCTGACTATCCCAAAAATTGAAGCCATCATCTTCCCTGCTGATGGCACCCTCTTGACTTTCTTCGGAGGGGTTGAGCCAGGGTGCTTCAACTGCATGCTTTGTTACTTTTTATTCTGGAGCGAAGGTATGGGCCAATGTTTCACCCCGAACTACGATCCGGTAGATAAAATCAGGTTCATCCTCGTAGCGAGACAAAATATATCTTGAAATGTTAAGCCTGGTCCGTTTTTGGTCGTAAGTCAACTGTCTCGGACTTATCTAGCGGAAACCTTTGACATGCCATAGACTTCAGTCAGAATTGCCTTAACTGAACCAAAGCTTATACGCACTCCCCTAGCAATGCTTCGCAGGTCTCGCCTTCTGTTGCACATAACAGGATCGTGCACAGCTCCGGCAATTTCATCGTTGGTGGCATCTTTTGACTGCTCATCATCTCCTATGCTCTACCTGTCTCCCTTAAAATCAGCAGCCCATTTTTCACAATGCTATAGGGAGGGGACTCCTTTCAAAGTGTATCCATGAAGTCTTTATGGATTTCCTTTCAGGACATCCCTTTCTTACAGTGTTACTTAATGACAACCCTTTGGTCTAAATGACGCACCCATCTACAGATCACAGTGTGTTTTATGTTATATAATCTGTGTAAAACCGCGTGTTACTCGGCCAGTAATTTTCAATAAGATATCGGTATCGACGTATCGTGTGTAAATTTCACTGTAGTTGCTAGAAGTATATTGGGCCGAGAACATTTTTATCATACATCGTATGTAGCATGCCACTTTATTCGCAGTAACCGCTAAATGTCGCACCATATTGCCGCTAAATATCGCAACCGCCACTATTTTGCCAATAAATGTCGCAAAATTGCTTTATCTACTTGCAACTCTCCGAGGAGCACAAAAATCTGGCCAGGGACGTGGGATTATTTCATGTGAAGAAGTTATCAATTTAGCTTGCGAGACGACGGTGGTTCAGCTCAAGTTCCCGTTATTGCACATGGAAAATCTCTATAGTGCTGTTTGACTTTACTGTGTTTGTATGACGTTTTTATATCTAAATTCTAATTAGTACGTTGCATGTCCTATTTAGAAGTTATAAAAACTTATAAGGAGAAATAAAAGTTTTATTTGCTTTTTGTATGAAAAGCTAATTAGAAGGTGCAAAGTTCAAACTGGGTTTTTATTTCATTTGTAGTCTTTTGAAGCTCCTCCTACTTAAGCTTTTATTTCTCAACTCCTAATAATATTCTTATTTCTCTTTTTATAAATTAACATCAAGAGTTACCAAGTTGTTATTATGTTAATTTCTCCTTATTACGAGTAAAATGCAATTTTAATTGTAACTGGTAGCAACAAGTTAATATAAGTATCTTTTATTTCTCCTTTTTAGGAAAATCAAAGTCCTAATTTGTTTTAATAGCTCTTAAGTAAAAGTGAAAAGACCTAACTAAGCTTTAAAAACTCAGGAGTTAAACAGTTTTTTTAAGAACATAAGGATTATGTACCCTAATCAACTTTGAAAAATGTTGTCATTAAAGGAGAGATTTTCGACTATGCAACCACATACATGCATCGAGGACATGTTGTAAGGAAAGCGACCGTGTGGCCACATACATGCATCATGGGAATACCCTTCTCATACGAGAAAGGGACAAAGTGTTCACCCTTTTCTTGAATAAAGGGCAAATGTTAATACATGTATATAGCGTTTCCCTATTGATAAGGAAGCTAATTTTCACAGTCATGTTTAGAATTGGTTTATATACAACACCAATAATGAAAACCAAGCGGGAAGTGAGTTTACTTCATTTTAAGTCCGCAATGAAATTTTGAAAAGATCATATAAAATCTTCATGTAATTTCTTTAGTTTGACGTTTTTCTACTCTTCGTTTTATGTATATAGCAAAATTATTCAAATTTTGCATAACACCAGCGTTTCAAAAGGTATAATACAAATAAAACAATAAATAAAATATAATGCTTGATCATTGGCTCAATATATCAGCAAATATCTCAGTGTTAAGCGGTTATATATATAATCAAAGGGCTGCAAGCTCTGTGGTATTTTCTGATCTTTGCAATCTAAATCGTACTGTGTATATGTATGTGTTTTCCTGTATAAGTTTATTTTTATGTACTATAATTCATCTTGCAGGGCACCACAGTTTGATACATACGGAATTTTGCATAACTAGAGTTACATCAAAAAAATCATTTATGTTTATTTTTTATGATAGCCACACTTTATCCTTGCATATCGTGGCTATTTCCTTAACAAAGACACTAAAAAAAGAATAAAAAAAATGTTGACTCGACTGGGATTTGAACTCCAGACCTCTCACACACTAAACGAGCGCGTTACCCCTGCACCACGGAGAAGTTTTAAAAGAGTCCGAATAAAATCAAGTGATTCTAAATTTAGAATTTCCATTGCATTTCGGGTTTTCAAATCAGCACAGGCTGAATAAAATCAATTCATTCTAAATTTAGAATTTCCATTGCATTTCGGGTTAGGGAATTTCGAGGTATTTTGTTCAGGGTAAACCTGTTGTTTAAAATTGAACTAAATGATTTAGCAAAAATCTTCTCGCCCAAACAGTCCAACATGTAGAAACTATTTATTCAACAGATTTATTTGTGTAGTATTCGGTAATCGACATAGCTAAAAATAGCATTTTCATTGATTAACATCATATTCATCCGCGTAATTTGTGAGTGTGCATTTATTGACAATTCTATAAGCCAACGCTACTTTCAAAGTTTGAATGTGTAGTAATTTGTTGGACACTTGTAACAAAAAGTGTTCTTTCTTTTAAATTGCTGGTTTTTAGTGAGAACTAATTTGCGTTGTTAGGTCTGTTAGGAAATTTTGTGTTAGACCGTGGATGTTAGCTATGTATATACTGATCTGCGATCAGAAAATACAAAATTGACACAGAATCTAGTTTATCTCAGCTGGTCGTACAGCAAAGTATCTAAACTGAAAAACAGGTCTATTATTAGTTGTATTTGTTTAATACCGCCGGATTCTATGTTGGTAACCATTTCATGACTAAAATGCCTAGTAAACTATGATGTTAATTTGAACACATATCTTCAAAATGAGATCTACAATGTAAAAGCTTAATAGTCATAAACTGTTGTTTTTCAACGCAAGAAACTCTTATTTCCTTTGCAATGTTCCATTACAAACTGTTAAAATTTTATGCCTCGGAAACTTAGTCCACTTTTTTCCTTCTCGTAATTTATTAAGAAATAAACCATTCGGAACACCTCACCTCTTACAAATACCTATGTAGCTGTTCAAAATTTGACCGAAATAGTCGAAATATGGAAATAGAACTGAAAGCTTCATTACATAGTTGCACTTTTATTGAAATTCAATAGTGAAGTATAACATATTATAATAACAAATCAATTACTGTGACATATAGAAATATAAATTAAATATAAAAATATCTAAACAATCAAGCAAACGCTGAAGTATGTAGAAGAATATCATTGATTAAATGTGTCGAAATAATTAACACTTGCCAACTTCAATACTTCATGTACATTTAAAACATTCATTGTTTTTATATTAAAAGGAAATTTATTGCAATCGAATCGTATCCCGAATGAGTTATCAAATTTTAAAACAAAGAGTATTGCCTAGTTTAGTGTAAAAAACACGATGGCTTTTGGAAATAAGTTCGCTCCAATATTTTCGTACGTTTAAAACTACGCTTTTAATTGTATTCTTCTATTCTGAAATATTGAACCATTTTCATAAACATAATGTAATAATTTGTTGTCAAAGTATTTAAAAAAGCTCTTTCAAATATATGGACACAAGAAAACAGTGATTTAAAATATACACCAGTGTACGTAAATAGTTTTTGTTAATATAATTATTCAAACTTCACCGACAAGACGTATAAAACAATGGGGGGAAAACCTGTCAGTAGGGAAGCCTAAATGCTCATTATTTTCATTATTTTGCATTATGTTATATCGGTGATACGTAATGCCAAGTAAAACACATATTTTAAAAATGTCATTTTTCGTCTTGTACTATTGAAAACGAGGAATGTCGAGTTTTATCATGCAAACGTTGAATTGAACAGAGACCGTTTACATTACATTATCACAGTTTTGGCACAGATGAATCATGAAATTATTTAAAACGCAAATTATATCTGATAGATAGGCTACATATACCAACTCAACAAGTAGTTACATACAATGGTGTGAAAAAAGCCAATGATCGTAAATATTCGACAATATTTTCGTTACTTTCCGTGTCCCAATATTATCAATTAAGCGTCTATGTGATAAGAAGCCTGTGATCAATCAACACGTGAGTGACGACGTTACAACTATACAAGGTACTAAAGGACGGTATATCTTTATATATATTAAAAAATCATAAACAATATCTTCTTAAAGAAAATAGTAATGCGCATTCTGACACAGTCTCGTAAAAACTTAATTGCACAAACATTTCAATAAATAACTGCATACATATACAATGTAATCAACTATGCATACATCTAATCTACTATACCCTTTTCATAGTTCATTATTATTATGTTTCCATAAACAAACAAGTTCACATAAAAAGCTATCGTGCAGAATTTATGTCCAAATCTCCTAGGAAAGTCATTTCTCTTTTCTTTTTGTCCTTTCGTCGTGATCTCGAGGTCAAAGGTCGGATATTGTTTATTTCTTCACCAGCCCTCTTCTCTAGTTCTTCAACAACACCTTTCACCTGCAAAATAACAACAGCATATTTCTCAGCATATATTTCTTATAAAACAGTCTAATTTCAAAGAATATTTAATCATTTACATAGAAGACAAAATGTATTTCAAGATTCTCTATGTTGTAATTGAGGTTATATACCACACTTAAGTACAATAATATATACGTATATTATTATGTTTATAAAAAAAATCAAATATCGAAGAATATGTAAAATATGTACAGCAAAATTTGTACATATTATATGAAGTTATTAAAATATATGCGTTCATTTCTTATTGAAAAAATTTACTTAGATTTTATAGAAAATAAATTTTTATTACCTCCCTTTATTTACATGAAATGTTAAATTCGGTAATATCTTTTTAGGAACTTACAAAATTGACAAATCTTAATTTGAGCATTATATTTATGATATAAAACCATAAAAAATTGTGTTACAGGATCTTTAATTGTTTTATGGAATTGCAAAACTTTGGTATTACGACTAATTAATTCATGCTTTCCAGTCCAGTGTATCAGATGATAGTATTCTAATAAACCAATACTGTAGTGAAATTTATAAAATATAATTTTCACTGTAGCCGAATTATATCTGAATTTGGATGAAAAGAATATCTTAACTGAATGGAATAACAGGCAAAATAAATGCCTTTATACGTAAACTTTTCTTCTTTCTGAAAAGAATGTCGATGTCATCATACATCATGTTAAAAATGTAACAAAATGAGAATTTAACAGAACCATAATTCAAAATTGATGATGTGACGTCATGATGTGATGCCGTCAAAAAATGAGAATGTGCGACGTTAAAATACTTAACATCGCTTTAAATCATGACATAAAAAGAAAATTTATGTGTTTTACATATAAGATTGATATATATTTCATTTGTGAACACCAGCTATTATATTTTCACTCGTGAAATATTGCATCTGGTGTTTACTCGGTGAAATATATTTCAATCTTACATGCAAAACAAACAAATCTACTCTTTATAAAAAATAATATAAAAAGACTATTTATACATGTAAAGCTCATGAAAAGACATGAAAAGTAAGCTGAAACTCATGTTTAGGGAAAAAATTATAATGCAAGTTTTTTCACATAATGTTTTATCACATTCTAAAATTAACCAAAGATCAAAGAAATTCTACAACAAAGTTTTCATTCTGCATTTATGTCTACATAAAAGCTGTAACGAATGTCTTTAAACCAATTTGCACAATACAAATACAGATTTGTTTTCCATTCTATGTAATTTTAAAATTACTTACCCATACAAAGAATGTAGCACATCCAGCACTAACTAGACGAACCTGGTCGATACTGTAGTCACGGAGAAAGTCTTTAGCTCCCATGGCAACCTCCAGTGGGCACTTCTCTATCTTAAACTCCACAATCAACCTCTTAAGGGACTCTTTGCCTGTTTTCCCAAGCACTATCTGTATATTCTTCCATTCCTTAAATGACATACAGATGTTCAATGTAAACATAGGCAATTTCAATTCCTAAAATAATAATATCCGAATATGTAATATCCGAAATGATATTAAACATTATCAAATTTGAAAAACTATAACCTATTAAGCACTTATTATAGCGCTTTTAGCACATAACATTATACAATGTTCTTGCGTTATTTTAAGGGGACACACGTAGGTTCTCTTGTATCTCTGTTATCATGTCCCTATTCGCAATTACCTATAAAACATTTTTTTTTCTGTTTACATATATTTCATTGTTTACATAATAATACTTCATTGATTACACTATTGTTTACATATGTTTTATTGTTCACAAATATTTCATTTCGTACACATATTCTAATGTTTACGTATATTTCATTGATAATATTTACTCCGTTGTTTACATAAATTGCACTGTTTACATATGTTTTATTGTTTACATATATTTCATTGTCTTACCTTGGTTTCATCCTCCCAGTGACCAAGGAGAAGCAATGTTGACATCATCACTGTGTGGACTATTTTAGGTGGACTACTGTATCCTCGAATTTCAGCTATCGTAGACTGGTCCAAGTCTAATATCGCGTGCAATAGCCGCTGGAGCTTTTTCAATCTATAAATAGATATTTCAAATCTTTTTTTTTACATAAATTTATATTTAGATATCAAATAACATCAGAGCTTTTTTGGGATAGCATGAAAATCACTGTGGTAAGTGCATTATAAAAATGCAACTTCTTCATATTATGCTTTGCCTTTTAATATGTTTCCTAACTTTGTCCAAAGCTAAATGTACATGTAATTAGATTTTCCAAGCAATGCACGCATTTGCGATTATATGCCGTATCAGTGAAAAATCATTTGTTTAAAATTAAACTTAAGAAATTAAGTGTTTCCGTAATTACATAAAATAAAATTAGTTTGTAATCATACCTTTGGAGTAGATTCCTTGCTATTGTAACCTCTCTTTCAAGTTTGTCCTCCACGCCAGCGGCCTTGACCTTCTTTAATGCGGCTTTAATCTTTTTTGAGTCTTTGTCCCGAATTCCTATTAGTAACTCTGTAAGTACAGACAAAAAATAATAAATAGAAGTTTGACAATTTTTAGATAGCAAATGTACAATCATGTTAAAAGTATTATTATGTTAAAATAAATAAGAAGCTAAAATAAATGACATACTCGTATACATGTTTTATCAGCATGTCCCTAACTTTAGAAACTCCAAGTGTATTGGTTACATTGAGGTTTAGGTTAGTAAAATTAAATACTAAAATATTCAAATAAAGTTGGTATAGACTTCATTTCGGGATATGGAACAACCAAATTTCTTTACGATATATAGCATCATTACAGGTTGCCACTTCAATCAATTCTATTGTAAAAATCGTTTGGAAAAAGGCGCTCCGTAGCCGGACAGTTAGAGTCGGTGATTTCAACTCATTGGCTGTCACCGCTGTGGAAGTCAGGGAGAAATGTGGATTTGCTCATTTAGAAAACTATCTATCAATTTTACGAAAGATCGTTGATCTATTCCTATGCCCTTGCGTGTCTTAAATAATGCACGGATGAAATATGGGCTCATCGCAAACTAGTACCTTATTGTCGGAAAGTGTCACGACATTTTCCGTGTTGTTGTGTATTACCAATCTACCTCTTTCCCAAAACAAAATCTGATGTTTTTTCTTTTTACTTACTTGCGTATCTTAAATATGGACTAAAGTAAATAATTAAATAGATGTCTTTCTCTGTAAATTATTATCAGGATAATAATATAATTTTTATAACTTGTAGTTCACATGTGTATCAACAATGCACGGCACTATTGACGTTTATAACTTTCGTAATTATAATTAAAGAACTCATTTTATTGTAATTATGTTAAACAATAACTATTCTTACATTCAAAAGTTATTATCTTAATGTGTTAAAATGGGCGAATAATATTTCACATTCAACAAAAAAAAATACACGTAGTTCAAAGGATACAACGGATTGGTTGAACACGAGCAAATCGTGCAGTATATATAGTAGGGGAGTTGAATCAATATTAAGTGATACTTTGGCAATGTAAAATACATTTATTCTTCTAATTATATATTGATCTTACCAATGTGCATTGTAAGGAAACCTACTGAAATATAATTTTATATCTTACTACATTTGTAAAATAGGTTTGCCTAATCGATTCACAAAGTTGAAGTAGCATAATGTAATTACATAGTTTACTTAAATGTGGAAAAATGAGCCTAATTAGCGTCAAAAGCTAGAAAAAATTCTTTCAAAAGATTTCAGTTGTAAGTCAGTTATTGGAAGATACTTCCGAAGGATCTGCTTATTAAAACAGCTTATATAGTTAATGATACTGGGTTTTTTACAAAGATTTTCTTATTTGTACAAAATTTGTCCAATACCACGATTTTCTTTGAGCCTGCATACTAATGACAGCAGTGTGTTCCCATGCGACCAGTGCAGACCAAGATCTACCGGCTCATTAGTGGTGACTGTTCGTGGTCTGCACTGTACGTATTTAAGTAATATAAATTATTTTGCAAATTTTCCCCAAAATAATGAATGATTTTATCAAGATTTCAAGATGGGCATGTCCGTTTATAAAATTTAGCAAGTAATGAGTTATCTAACTTTTTCATAAAATGTTGTGAATTTTTTTTTACGTCCTTTGTTCATAAATTTTTTTTATTCCAAAATTATGTTCGAATAAAAAAAAAATTCCGAACTTATGTCTTTCATTCGGTTAAATTATCTCGAAAAAACTTGACATAAGCAAGGAAATTCAAATTAAGTGCATATTTTATTTTGATAAGAAAAAAAGGAAATTTGTATTTTTCAAACATTTATGCAATATTGAAATTGCAAAGGAGATGTAATTTTAACCTGGTGTCGAACATCAATGTGATTAGCTGTTATCAAAAACGAATCCCCGACTATTTACACTATCTGTGTATACCCACATATCTATAAAAGCATACCAACTTTAAACTCCGGGTCGAGTTTAATCTAAAATATAGTATATACGTAACAGTTTACTTCGTTATCCACGTTTTATTTGATTTTGGAATGTAATGTAAATTTTTGATAAGCTATAATAAACCCCAAGTACTTCAAAAACAAACTGAATTTCAGGAGAACCACTTTAAATACTAGCTACGTGTAACCGATTCAAGAACGGTTGCGTAAAGGCTTTTGTTTATAAATTAAAACTCCAAAGAATCTGGATCAAAATAAAGAAAATGTGACGTTTACTTGCTTTGAGACTCGCTCAAATGATGCATGCTTAATTCATTATGTGTACATGAATGGGATTCGAACCTAGTACGAAATTTTTCGTTAAATAAGCTCCAATTAGTTCCAGCAACTTAACAAAATTAAAATTCATGCATGAATCATGAAAAAGGAAACATACTTAGAAAAATAAACAAATTATAAACCATTTTGCACAATTAAAACTATCAGTTATAATTCTGGGGAAACAGAGCAAACAGATGATTTGCGCAATAGCTTCAGGTCCACACCTTCATCAAATGCTTGACAATTACAACAAAATTAGATTTAAGACCCTACGTGGAGTCCCTTTATATTATATATCCACAAGATCAAACCGTTGTGCACCATTGATAAAAGCAGATATGTTCCGATTGCCATAAGATACCAAATCTTCTACTATACTGACTGGCTGCAAGTTCGAAAGAAACAAAAGAAAATTAAATCAATTAAGTAGCATTTACCTTTCTTAATCTTCAATAATTGCAGCATTTCTTCTGCGTATTTGATGTCCGGTTGAATTGACGGTAGTTTTAATGTTTTCATTTCTTTAATGACAGCATTTAATTCTTCCGGGCTATTTTCCTCTATCGCCATGCGAACGCGCCGACGTAGAACATCCGTGAAGTTGTCTGAAAACGGAAATGTGTTTATTTGAGGCATAATAGAAATTCAAATCATTAAAAAGATAACTTTCTTACGTTTTGCTTTGCTTTCTTTTTATTCATTTATTTATTTATTTATTTATTTATCTCCTTTTTTTAAGACTACTACATCTGATCGAAAATAAGTTTTTTACGACAATTGACGGAAAATATACTTTAATCCTACGACTCTTGAAATAGCCCGACAACACAAATTCTGAGACCGTCCTGATTAGATGATTATAATTGTTAATAGATACGAATAATGTTCTGTTAACTAGATCCAAATATGGAAAAATTAAGAAGTTTAAGTGATCTGTTTCACAAGAAAATATTCTGCTCAATAATCTATTGAAATATTTGGTCACATTTTAGTTACATTCTCCATTGACGGTATTTTGGCACAGCAGCATTTCTACCAGAATTGCATAAATATAATATCAGATTTTGACATAAATTTACTCACAATTATGCCATAATTATACATCAGTGATCAAGATCGCTCGATTAACTCTCGAAATAGTTCTACTTCTTAATTCATAATCAAGAATATCCGAGTGAAAATAGTATATGTCATACATTTTGAGCTGCATTTTATATAATAATCTTTCATTTGCTTTTTTTTTGGCAAAATATACAAATTTTCGACATGTTTCTACATAAAATAAATTCGACCAATAGTCCCATTTTACAAGTTGTCCGATTCTATCAAATATCGGATTCGACTAACTGGCATATTCGATGAGAAGTCTTTCGACGAAATGTCACAGACGCGAAATATTTTAGCACATTAATTTGAAAATTATTGATGAAGAAATGAACACCTTTCAGTGGAATTCTATTAATAAAAATGAAATGAAACGAATAAAAAATTGTTTAAAATTCTTACCCATTTATCTAGTTAAATTGGTTATAAGAACTAGAAGAACCGTTCTTTCACAGTTTTAAATCTTAATCCCTCACAAAAGCAAAATGATAAGAGCTTAGGTTTAAATCAGACTTTTGCATCTGTTCTCTTTAAAGACCGTGTATTTGTACAAAGGTATCTATAATCCGGCAGGATTATCTCTTAAATTGGTAAAAATTTATCGCTATTATAGATTACCACCAACTTCGTAAATATGAACGCTGTTAGTTTGATAGCAATTGATACATCAAGAAGCGAAGCAATTAGGAAGAACTTTATTACCTCCCTTTAATAAAGTGTCATCAAACTTAATGCATACGTCCTTCATAGAACTTAGGAAAACTAATATTCAGGACGTGTCTTTTGATTTACATCAAGGGATCATCAATTTTGAAATATTTTACAAAAGTTAATCACACAAATTTTGTATCAGTAAAAATTTCTAATGAAAAAAGGTAGAAACAGGTTAGGACGTATTTAGCTTACGACGTATACCGCTTACGACATAAACAGCTTACGACATAGACAGCTTACGACATTAACAGCTTACGACATTAACAGCTTACGACATAAACAGCTTACGACATAAACAACTTGCGACGAATACAGCTTACGACATAAACAGCTTACGACGTAAACAGCTTACAACATAAACAGCTTACGACATAAACAACTAACAACTTATACAACTTACGACGTATACAACTTACGACGTATACAGCTTACAATGTATACAGCTTACGACGTATAAAACTAACGACGTATACAGCTTACGACTTATACAGCTTACGACGTATACAGCTTACAACGTATACAACTTATGACGTATACAGCTTACGACGTCTACAACTAACAACTTATACAACTTACGACTTATACAGCTTACGACTTATACAGCTTACAACGTATACAGCTTACGACGTATACAGCTTACGACGTATACAGCTTACGACATAAACAACTAACAACTTATACAACTTACGACTTATAACAGCTTACGACTTATACAGCTTACAACGTATACAGCTTACGACGTATACAACTTAAGACGTATACAGCTTACGACTTATACAGCTTACGACGTATACAGCTTACAACGTATACAGCTTACGACTTATACAACTTACAACGTATACAGCTTACGACGTATACAGCTTACGACTTATACAGCTTACGACATATACAACTTACAACGTATACAGCTTACAACGTATAGAGCTAACGACTTATACAACTTACGACGTATACAGCTTACAACGTATAGAGCTTACGACTTATACAGCTTACGACGTATATAGCTTACGACTTTTACAACTTACGACGTATACAGCTTACAACGTATAGAGCTTACGACTTATACAACTTACGACATATACAGCTTACGACGTATACAACTTACGACGTATACAGCTTACGACGTATACAGCTAACGACTTATACAACTTACAACGTATACAGCTTACGACGTTTACAGCTTACGACTTATACAACTTACGATGTATACAGCTTACGACGTATACAGCTTACAACCTATGCAGCTTACGAAGTATACAGCTTACGACTTATACAACTTACAACGTATACAGCTTACGACGTATACAGCTTACGACTTATACAGCTTACGACGTATACAGCTTACAACGTATACAACTTACGACGTATACAGCTTACGACGTATACAGCTTACGACTTATACAGCTTACGACTTATACAACTTACGACGTATACAACTTACGACGTATACAGCTTACGACGCATACAACCTACACGTAAAGTTTAATCGTTGAACTGTGCAAACAGAGTAACATAACACCGTATTTAATTTTTGTATGTAGACACCGTTTATTACATAAGATTCCCATATTAACTTCTACATGTAAAAAAATAACTACATGTACCGTAGGTAAAACATGAAAACCTTGTTTCAATATATTAAATCACGACAAGCCACAACTATATTTATAACAACTTATATACTATTTTAAAACAACATTATGCCATGGAATTGAAAATGAGGGCTTATCTAATTTATAACTAGCTAGATATACTAATGAAAGATATAAAAAAGTAAAACAGGTTTACGGTAGTATTAGGTAATCGATAGTTGAAACTAAAACAAGAAAGAATTATATATGGATGCTGTCGGTAAGTGCGACATACATGATCCGATACATATATGATATAAATTTATTTTCCAGATACTAAAATGTTCTAGTACAAAAAATATTACCATTCATCATATAAATTGTCACACTATATTTTCACAGAAATATTTCATTAGAATATCCGATTGATACATTTCTATTGTTTTCATAAATGTTTGAAAAAAAAATCATGGAAATTATGCCCATTATATACCAATCCACTTTAAATGTTCTTTAATGCATGATTTGGAATTTCTTTTGTAATAATTTGATTATTTGATAAAATTTTTCAACTTTTATCTCTTATCTAAATGTTTTTTTTACCAATTATAAAATGTTCAAATGCTAGTAGTTGAGTATTATGTGACTGACCTGATAGCAAGCAACAAATATAGCAAAATGAAAGTAATGAATAAATAAAAACGTTCTTAAAGCCAGATGCCTCCAGATTACTCCATTTCAATAAAATCAAACTTGAGAAAAATGTACTAAGATATAAGGAAAAGTAAAAGATTCAAGTATAATATTCTACATAATATGTGCGATTAATGAGTGTTTTTTTGTTCTCAGTTACTAACGCAGTAAAGGCTATTTATGCATATTTTGACCACTATTTGGTTATTTACGTGGTTTATAAGTGGCATTGCTAATGCTTCCTTTTAGTTAATTCACAATATTACACATTAATATACATTTTCAAACTTTTCAAAAAAATAAGCATGAATCTGGAGGCGTACTGCTTTAAACAAAACAAACAAGAAAAAATAACAAGTGCCAGCTACTAGTAGGCCATGACTATAGCTTGAAAAGGAACAAACGTCAAAGTAAAAAAGAAAATAGCCAAGAAAAAAGAAGTATTTCCTAATGATCTGGAAAGCAAAAACAACAAAACAATAACAACAAAACAAGACAACAAGAAATAACAAGAAGCTTTAGCTGCTAATAAGTCAAGGTCATAGCTCGAGCAAGGTTAGTTTAATCTACCTGACTCTGATTCTGCATTAGGTTCCTCAGCATCCTCTTTCTCTTTTTCCGTTATTTCCTCAGATTCTTCATCTATAGAATGATGTCAGTGGAATATTACAATAAACGGAATTAGCTTAGGTCCCTGATAATCAGTCTGTGCTATGTGCATTTTTGAATGATACGAATAAAGATTGTTTAAACACCCTGAATACCTTAGCAAAAATCCACCTTTAAATTACTTTCCGCGTACTTTTGAATTTACAATAAAAAGTAAAAACGTTTATTTTAAAACTTAGTCGGTTATAACTGGGAAAAAAGGCCAATATAAAACAATACCTGTGCTTCCAAACGATTTTGCTTCTTGTTCTATCGTTGGGTCCGATTTGACTCTTTTCTTTGGTTTACGGTAGTCTATGACGTAATC